GAGATAGACTCCAATACAATAATATTTAGGGACCTCAACACCCCTCTATTAACATTGGAGAGATAACTTAGGCAAGAAATCAACAGAGAAACACAGGATTTAAACTACACCTTAAACCAATTGGACTTTGCAGACATCTACAAAACATTTCATCCAACAACAACAGAATATACATTCTTATCAGCACATGGAACATTCTCCAAGATAGGTCACAAGTTAGGTGACAAATCAAGTCTCAGTAAATTTTTAGAAACTGAAATCATTTCAAGTGTCTTTTCAGACCATAATGGTTTAAAACTAGCAATCAATAACAAGTGAATTTTTGGAAACCATACAAATATATGGAAATGAACATGCTCCTGAAGAACCTATGTGCCAAAGAAGGAATTAAACAAATTTTTAAATTTCTTGAAACTAATGATAGTAGAGACACATCATATCAAAACCTATGGGATGCCGCATAAGCAGTTCTAAGAGGGAAGTTTATTGCAATAAATGCTTATATCAAAAGAATAGACAGACTTTAGATAAACAAGCTAATATTAAAACTGAGGTTAAAAAGCTAGAAAAACAAGAACAATCCAATCCCAAAATGAGTAGACAGAAAGAAATAATTAAGATCAGAGCAAAACGAAATGAAATAGAGACCAAAGATACAAAATATCAATGAAATAAAAGTTGGTTTTTTGAGAAGATCAACAATATAGACATACCATTAGCCAGACTAAGGAGAGAAAACTCAAATAACAAAAATCGGAAATGAAAAAGGAGACATCACAACTCATACCACAGAAATGCAAATAATCATTAGCAACTATTATGAACAATTATACACCAAGAAGTTTGAAAACCGGGAAGAACTGGAAAAATTTCTGGATGCAGACAAACTACTAAGACTGAACCAGGAAGAAACAAAAAACATGAACAGACCAATAACGAGCAGTGAGACTGAAGTGGTAATCAGCAGTCTCCCAACAAAGAAAAGCCCAGGACTGGATTGTTGAATTCTTCCAAACATTTAAAGAGGAATTAATACCAATTCTTTTCAAACTATTCCAAAATATTGAAACACAGGCCAACTTCCAAACTCATTCTTTGAGGCCAGCATCACCCCCAAACCAAAATCAGACAAAGGTAAATCAAGAAAAGAAAACTGCAGGTCAGTATCCTTGGTGAACATAGACACAAAAATCCTGAGCAAAGCATTAACAAGTAGAATACATTGAAAAGATTATACATCGTGATTAAGTGGGATTCATCTCAGGGATACAAGGATGGTTCAACCTATGTAAGTCAATAAATGTAATACACTGCATCAACAAAATTAAGGACAAAAGCCATATGATCATCTTAATAGAGGCAGAAAAAGCACTTGACAAAATTCAACATCCCTTCATGATAAAGATTCCCAACAAATTAAGTATAGAAGGAAAGTATCTCAACACAATAAAAGCCATATACAACAAATACACCACCAATGTCATCCTGAATGTGAAAAGCTGAAAGCTTTTCCTTTAAGAACAGAAAGAAGATAAGGATGCCCACTCTCACCATTCCTGTTTAACATAGTTTTGCAAGTACTTTCCAGAGCAATCAAGCAAGAGAAAGAAATAAAAGGCATCCAAATTGGAAAAGATGAAATCAGATTGTCCTTGTTTGCAGATGACATGATCCTATATATGAAAAACCCTAAGGACTCTACCAAAAAACTCTTAGGGCTGATAAATGAATTCAGTAACATTGCAGAATGCAAAATCAGTATGCAAAAACCACTTGCATTTTTATACTGCAACAATGAACTAGCAGAAAAATCAAAAAAGCAAGCCCGTTTACAGTAACTACCAAAAATATAAAATACCTAGGAATAGGGCCGGCCCGGTGGCGCATTGGAGGGTGTGCCGCTTGGGAGCATGGCGGCGCTCCTGCCGAGGGTTCGGATCCCATGTGGTGACCGGTTCCCGCTCACTGGCTGAGCGTGGCGCGGGCGCAACACCGAGGGTTGCGATCCCGTTGCCGGTCCCCGGTACGGGCGCGACACCGAGGGTTGCGATCCCGTACTGGTTGGTAAAAAAGACAAAAAGGGGAAAAAAAAAATACCTAGGAATAAATTTAACCAAGGAGGTGAAAGATTTGTACAATGGGAACTACAAATCACTGCTGAAAGAAATTTAAGAGGACACCAAAAGATGGAAAGACATTCCATGTTCATGGATTGGAGTAATTTGTGAAAGTATCCATACTACCCAAAGTAATCTATACGTTCAGTGCCTTCCCTGTCAAAATACCAATGACTTTCTTCACAGAAATAGGAAAAACCATCATAACATTCATATGGAACAACAAGAGACCCCAAATAACCAAAGCAATCCTGAGCAAAAAATAGAAATAAAGCTAGAGGCATAACACTTCCTGATGACTTTAAATTATGCTACGAAGATATAGCAACCAAAACAGCATGGTACTGGTATAAAACAGACACTCAGACCAATGGAACAGAATAGAGAACTCCAAAATCAGTCCACATTCTTACAGCCAACTGATCTTCAACAAAGGTACCAAGAACATACATTGGTGAAAGGACAGCCTCTTCAATAAATGGTGCAGGGAAGACTGGATATCCATATGTGGAAGAATGAAACTAGACCCATACCTCTTACCATGTACCAAAATGAACTCAAATAATTATGCGGTCATTGAACTAAACATTCCCACAGAGGATCCGAATAAGTTGGACAATTCAAAATTATCCCCTTATGATAAATTGACCACACCAACATATGTTCCAAAAGCACCGCTCATGACTAAATATGAGCTGCAGCCTAATGTAAGTTGGCAAATATCATTTACTGGAGATTATATTAATGGCAAGAGAATGGTTGGTATTAATGGGAAATTATATGATTGGGATAAATTAAGTATACAGGAATGAAACCATAGAATTCCCTTTACTTGGTGGTGTCCAGTTTTAAATAAATCATTAAGAATTAGATATTCGGATAAAAATATATGCTGTAAAATTATTAAACCTGCAAAATTAGACCTGAGAGGTAAATGTAACTGGTTTTGTGAGGGATGGTGCTGTGCACAATGACACTTTGACATTTAGATCAAGATTACAGGGCCACAGCCAATGCATAACCTTAAAATGTGCATGATAATGCTGCTCAAATATCCACTGTTCTTTTTACATTTGGCTCCCACCCTGTTAACAGGGTGGATATTAACCACAGCTTGCTAACAGAAAAAGGTCACAAGATAACTTCAAGACAATGAAGGGATGGTTCACATCTTATAACCTGATTCCAGGAAAAAGAAGCACGAGTTGATCACCTGAGACATGCTGACAAAAGGAAAGGACTGGCTGACCTCTAAAAAAGTTTCCTCCCTGCTTTTTGGACTATTGATTTAAGCTTACTGATACAATAAAAATAGTACCCAAAATCCCCCTGCTAAGCTGTATACCCAAATAAAAGGCCTTGTCTCATGCTCTACTGGGCTCGAGCTGCAACACGCTGACAGCCCACAGAGAGAGAACGTGCATATTGATGCACTGAGGTCTCCGTCTGTGTTTGTTATTTTCGCTGACCCTCCCTCTCCCTTTTCAGGTACCCACCCCTCGCCAAAACTGGACTTCGGCACTCTGTGCCCCACAAATATGTATACTCAATTAAGAATCAATAATTTAAAAAGGACATTTTGGGGACAGTTGTAGAAATTCAGATATGGATAGTGTATTATTGTATTAATGTTGTTTTTCTTTGGTGTGATAATGGTTTAGGGGGAAAAACATATACTGAAAAAAAAAGGAAAGGGGGAGAAAAAGCAAATGTTGCAAAATACTAACAATTGAGGTATCTTCCAGATAATCCATAGAGCCCCCCAAAGTTTGCCATTTATCCCTGTCTTAAATTTTGCGTGTCATGTTTTCATTTGTTTGACGGAAGCTGCTATATCATTCTCTCTCTCTCTCTCTCTCTCTCTCTCTCTCTCACTCTCACTCTCACTCTCTCACACACACACATGCGCGTACGTCCTGGCCCCTAGTGTAATGCACCAGAAAGAGTGTGGGCTTTCAAATCAGATCTAGGTTTTATTCATAATGCTGCTACTTTGTTCATTCAATGTTTACTGAGCTCCTGCCAGGTGCCAGGCACTGTGCAAAATGTGTGGGTTTCCATAGGGAGCAAGAGACTTGATTCCTGCCCTCAAATAGCTTATATCATAGTAGAGGAGATAGTTAGAAAATAAGCATACAAATAAATATGTAAGTGCAAATTGTGATACATGCTATTAAGGGGAAAATCAGATTACTATGATTGATAAGAGAAGACGTCTAACTTAGATTAGAAGATGGTCAAAGGGCCGTGCCCGTGGCGCACTCGGGAGAGTGTGGCGCTGGGGGGCGCAGCAGCGCTCCTGCCACGGGTTCGGATCCTATATAGGGATGACCGGTGCACTCACAGTGCTCACTGGCTGAGCGCGGTGCGGCCGGTCTCAAAAGAGGACAAAAAAAAAAAAAAAGAAGAAGAAGATGGTCAAAGGGCCGTGCCCGTGGCGCACTCGGGAGAGTGTGGCGCTGGGGGGCGCAGCAGCGCTCCTGCCACGGGTTCGGATCCTATATAGGGATGACCGGTGCACTCACAGTGCTCACTGGCTGAGCGCGGTGCGGCCGGTCTCAAAAGAGGACAAAAAAAAAAAAAAAGAAGAAGAAGATGGTCAAAGACACACCTCTCCTACTCCGTGATCTTAAGCAAAAATTATTTTAATTTTATGAGGGTTTTCTTATCTGTAAAAATGAAGATGAAGATAACTTTCTCACTCTATCATTTGTGAGAACTAAATGTGATAACATATGAAGTGCCTGGCACTTAGAGGGCACTGGGTAGACGTTATTAGCCTTGTTTTTAGAAGCTCTATTTCTTCCCTCACAGAACTCCTCTTCCAGTATTGTATTTGCTAGATTTGCTAATGCTACCTAACCTTTATTTTTGGCTCCTCAGGGCTCAGAATGGAATGCCTCCAATTTAGAGGACTTACAGAACCGAGGGTAAGCACAGAGCAATTGTTGACACCCCCATGTGACAGAAGTCCCTGTTTTATCCTTACATTTTTCCATCAAAGAGGTATTAGTTGGTAACTTTAGTCTTAAGAGTTGCTTCTAATCAGGTGTAATGTAATGAAAATGAATCAGCTATTCTCCTACTGTTTCACCTCCCTCCCCCTACCTTCCAAGAAAGATCAGCAGTTTAAATGGAAGGGCTCTCAAAAACAAATGTGCAAGCCTTTGGTGCTGTTTAAAATCAAATGTAGTTTTTGGTTTCTGTTTTTATGTAAGGATACATAGAACTGCATCTTTTGAGAACACATCTTTCACAGAGCTGTTCATTCAACATTTATTGAGCATCTTTTGTTGACCAAGCATAATGCTAGCTGCTAGGGATCCACAGATAAATAATAGTTGGTCCCTATCCTATTATAGTAAGCTGCTTGAAGACTGTAAGTAGGTTATGAATGTAAAATGGACAAACTTCTGAAATTGAAGACAACTTACCTTATATTTTAAAAATTGTCCTGAAGCAGCATGATTATTTAGTTTGATTGTAGCAATTGAGTACAGTGAACATTCAGCAAACAAAAAGCTCCATTCCTCCCTTCTTACCTCTTAGCTAATGCTTACTAAATTTCTTGCTGAACTTCACCTTAGGAAGTCAGATCATCTTAATAAAAGAAGAGAAAATCATGTCTGAAATTTGTCATGCTAACTCTTTATTTTGGACAGAGATAAGACCAGCTAAGACTCAAAGGTGGTGATGGCTGGCTGGTTGGTAGTTGGCTGCCTGTTTTCTCAGCTACAAGTCAGCCTTCTGATTATCTTTACCATTATTAGATGCATACTCCCTACTTTCCCCCCCAAAATAAAAGTATTTTGTAATTGCTAAAATGAACTTGGAGGAGGACTTAAGTCAAATGGTTATACCAAGAATTTCAGGGGCGAAAATCTGGTTGCTTAAGTTAAGATTTGAAAATGAGTAGGGAATCCTCAATCCTGACCAATTTGGAAAACCTAAATTGGTCAGGATTGAGTCTAAAATTATTGAAGTCAGGGACTATCTTAGAGTTTTATACCAAGAGGGTGCTTGGTAAGTGTGAATGAATGATAGATAAATTCACATGTATGTGAGGATGGTGACTTGCCTAATGGCAGATAAAGACAGGAAATCAATTAGTATACTGGGCTGGGAATTCAAAGACCTAGGTTCTAATCCTGTGTCTGCTATTTGCTCTCTTTAGGCCCATAAAGCTTAAATCTAGACAAGTTGTTTACTGATGAGGATCCTTGAAAATTCCCGTGAAGGATGAAGACCCCCTAGTTCAACCAAAATAACATTGTATCTGCTTTATAAGCAGTGATCTGCTTATGATTTCTTTGGAGGTTGGACAGAGTTTTTGTCAACCTCCTAAGTCGTCAAGCTTTAAAAATTCTGTCTTTCTGGGAAACCTAGATATAGTGTTTAGTATGAAATCTGAGATTTGATATAGCAAAGTTTGCCAAACCCATTGTAATCATATCATACACATATACACCCTGACTTTAGAACATAACCCCAGCTGAAGATGAGACCCATCTATTTCATCTTATTAGGCTAAATTATAAAATACAATTGTATCTAGTTGTCTTAAAAGACAGTATGGTTAGATGTCCAGACATCTACTTAGATCTTGTTTCTGAAATTCTGTGGTTCTTAAACTTTAGTATTTGAAAAGTATGGTTCAGGGATCTGTACACAAAACCATGTGTACTGTCCCCATGGATGATTTGTGGGATTTTCAAGTGTAATTTTGACAACAAGGCCATTTCCACCCAATCTACTGACTTTATTTTTTTTTTATTTTTATTTTTTTTTTAAAGATGACCAGTAAGGGGATCTTAACCCTTGACTTGGTGTTGTCAGCGCCATGCTCACCCAGTGAGCTAACTGGCCATACCTGTATGGGATCCGAACCCATGGCCTTGGTGTTATCAGCACCACACTCTCCCGAATGAGCCACGGGCCGGCCCCAATCTACTGACTTTAGAACCAAACTTCAAGTGAAGTGCTGCTCTGTATAGAGTCACTTAGTGCTGAGATGGCAAAGTCTCAAGGAGCACCAATTGCAATTGGCAGTGGCTGCTTGACAGCTCTGTAATGAAAAGGATTAGAAAGCCCTGTCCTGCCTCTTGAGAGATAGTGCCATAATCCACTACTGAGGTATGGGATCGGAGATGGGAGGTTGTTCGTGTTTATTTTAAATAACAGAAATGTGCTTGCCTTTTTTTTCTAACAGTTTTATTAAAACATAATTCATGTACCATACAATTTGTCTATTTAAAATGTACAATCCAGTGGCTTTTAGTATATTCACAGAGTTGTACAGCTATCACCACAATCAATTTAGAACATTTTTCAACCCAGAAAGAAAGGCTGTACCCTTTAGCAGTCATCCCATTTCCCTTCTTCCCCCCGCCCCCAGTCCCTAGAAACCACTAATGTTAATCAACTGACAAATAGTCACTTTGGGACTATTATGAATAATGCTACTATGGTTATTGTATACAAATTTTGGTATGGACTTAGATTTTCATTTCTCTTGGGTTTATACCTAGGAGAGGAATTGCTGGGTTATATGGTAACTATGTTTAACATTTTGGGGAACTGCCAGACCATTTTCCTCAGCAGTTGCATCATTGTACATTCCAGCCATGTGCATGCTTTTTAAACTAAATAATAATAATAATAATAATTTATAGTAATGGGCTTTGATGCTAAGTTAAAACAGATTCAGTTCATGTCTTAGAAAAATTTTGGCCACTTCACCTTAACCACAGAGTTGGTTAGCTATGGCTCTCGCTTTCTGTAGTCATTTGACTTTAGAGATTGGGTTTGTAGAACCCCACATTTGGTTTTGAGAAGGAAGCAGCTTCTGCAGAAAGAAATGAGTGAGTCTATGTTCTGTTGTTAGAGTAAACTCCAGTGATGTCTACGTCCACACAACATTGAGAAACCATAATGTTTGGTAAATTAAACACAAGCATTTATTGAGATTGTGTAGTGAGAAAGATAATAGAAGAAATTTTGATGGAGAAACCCTGTTCTGCAAGCATCTCAGTATGAGAAAACCCTCAGACACATCTGCTGCCATAGCAGCCAGGAATGCTGCCAGATAAAGTTAAGAGAGTTTTAACTTAAATCCAACTTTCCTCTTTCAGCCTTTCCAGCCCTGGTCTCATCTGCCTTCCATGTAGTTTAGAGAGAGTAATAGAGCAAAGCCTAACAATCTGGAATTTAGAAAAATAGGAAGAAATTTTTCCTTTTCTGTTTTTTTCTTGGGGTACATGTCAGTAGTCTGATTTTATACAAATGACATCCAAAGAAGAAATTATATTGCTGATAATTTTAGTGAAAAAGAGAGAAATTGTCAGATTATAGGCCTCAGGTGGATTCTTTTGAGTAAAATATGAGACATATTTTCAAAAAACTATTAGAGATAAGGTTATGTAACTGTAAATGAAAATGTAATTTAGATGTTCAGCATGGCAGATAGCTTTTTGCTTGGTAACTCCTTGGTGCCCACATATGCCTAGGACCCTGTTATATAATTTCTCCACTAAACAAATATAGCCTCTTAGTTTTTTAGCTTTCTTTATTATTTCTGTATTTAATTCAGCCTATGGTGTAAACAAGTTTTAAATAAGAAAAACAGTGCTGGGAATTGGATTTAGCCTGAGTAGTAGAGCGCATATTCTCCCTTGGTTTCCTTGCAGGGTACGGTATATCTTGAATGTCACTCGAGAGATAGATAACTTCTTCCCAGGAGTCTTTGAGTATCATAACATCCGGGTATATGACGAAGAGGCAACAGATCTCCTGGCGTACTGGAATGACACTTACAAATTCATCTCTAAAGCAAAGTGAGTAATAGTCCCGCACACATATTCTGATTTCTCTTTTTCATGCAACACACATGGCTGGGCCATGAGGAATGTAGGTAACTTATTGATGGTACTCAGGAAAAAGGAAGTTCAGAAAAAAGGGGGCTGAGATTTTTTAATCCTAGGCAAAAGACTAGTGACTAAATACTTTTCCTTTAAGTAAAGGAATCCTCTAGAAGAAGGTGACCTCATGTTAACTATTTCCATTGAGCACGAAATTAAAGGAAATAGACTTATGCTGCAGCAAAAGAAATAAAAATGAAAGATCTAGTTCTGAATGAAATTCTTAAATTGCCAATGGAGAGATTTGAAAAATTATTCCAGATAGGTGAAATACTGGGTCCTCCTCTGAAGACAAGGAGAGGAATAGTGAACTTTGGAAATCTTTTCCCATTTTTTTTACTTCACTTTTAGGATACTCTAAATGGTGGAATTTTTTTCTGGCCTTTCTGTCGACGTCTTCCTTAAATTAATTGGCCCTTTTAGTGAAACTATTTAGTATTAGTGTTTGTGTTAATTAGTATCAATATGTCAACACTACATTTTTTAAGTCCCTAGCTAATTCTATTTATTCCTTAAATAGAAGGAAATGTAAATGAACTTGTTAGCCCCATCTCCTTCGGGTAGGACTACATTCAAACTATCCCTGGCAGATGAGAAACTTTCTGGTTTTTTTTTTTTTTTTTTTTTTTTTTTTTTTTCGTTGTGATGAATTGGAAATGACATGCCAATCCAAAGGGGATGGCCCTAATTTATATAGCTGATTTTGGTCAGGCGTTTAGTATTTAGCTGATTTTGTATATAGTATATAGCTGATTTTGGTCAGGCAGTAATTTAGTATTGTGAGAGTTTGTGGTTTTGCTTTTTGTTTTTTTTTTGTTTGTTTTTTTTTTTTTTTTTCCTTTTTGTCTTTTTTCGAGTCCGGCAACAGATCGCAACCCTCAGTGTCACACCCGTACCAGACCGGGACCGGCAACGGGATCGCAACCCTCGGTGTCGCTCCTGCGCCTCGCTCAGCCAGTGAGCGGGAACCGGTCTGTATGTGGGATCCGAACCCTTGGCGGGAGCGCCGCCGCACTTCCCAAGCGGCGCACTATAGCAGTGCGCCACCAGGCCAGCCCAGAAACTTTCTGTTTTTAAAGTCATCCTTCTAGCATGATTCTGCAACTCTCTGAAGGAACTTCATGGTCAGGAAATTCTTACTCTTAGTTACCCTAAATCCTCATATTCTAGCTTTCAGCCTATTCCTTTAGTCTCTAGCCAGCACCTGAAAGAGTGTTTATATTCTTGAAACCTAGTAATAATACCATTCGTGACATGCTTACTATGTGCCAGGTACTTACATATATTTGCTTGTGTAATATTTTCTAAAACCCAGAGAAGCAGATATTGTCATCTTCCTGTACAAATGAGGATAGACTGTAGAGATGAGATTCAGGGGGTGTGTTAGTCTGTTTATGTTGCTTATAATAAAATACCTGAAACTGGGTGATTTATAAAGAAAAATGAAATTTATTGCTTATCATTTCTTAGGCTGGGAAGTCCAAAATCCAGGGAACACAGCTGGTGAGGGTCTTGGTGGTGGCAACAGTGACCCAGTGGTCTCACATTGCAAGATGGTGGAAGCAGAGAGAGCAAGAGAGAGAAAGAGACATACTCTCTTCTTTTAAAGCCCTCAGAACCACACCCCTGACCACCATTTTTAATCCATTCACTACAGCATGATGCTACAATCCAATCATCTCTTCAAGGCTCCACCTTTCAGTTACCATAATAGGATTTCCCATCCTCTTAAAAGTCACAGTGGGAGCTAAGTTTCTAATACATAAAACTTGGGGGATACAGTTCAAGCTTCAGTGACTTTTGGAGGGACTTAATTCAATCTACTACAGGGGTATAACATAACAGGTGGTGAAGCTAGGACTTGAACCAAAATCATGTCATATTTCAGAGTGCATCAAGTACACAGGAATAGTCTATTGACATAAAGAAAGGGGACTAGAAAAGACTAGGCAAATTGTCAGGGTCCTAGCCAAAGAGCCTAGAGTTCAAGGTGAGTCCCCAGTCCCAATGAAAAGAAAGGCTGTTTTCAGCTGGGATTAGGGAGAGACACAGGAGGCACCCAGGGCACAAGTGGAGGCACTCACTTTCAGGCTCTTGTAAGCATAGGTCAGCAATTGAGAGTCAGCACCTCCTTTAATCCTGCACCCTTGGTACCTCCTGTTTCTCACCCTAACCAGGACCCCAATTCCTAAGTGATGCCAGGTTCAATCTGGACAACCCTGTATGGGGGTGGAAGGGTGCTGCTGAACCTGAAGGGTGGAATTAGTTTAAGTGAGAACTGACTTTATATCCTTTATTACATGAGTTAGAAGCCATTCACCCAAAAAGCCCAGTTGAAAATATGCCAGAGATGTTTTCATAGGAGTGGATTTCATAATTGTATTTATTTTACTTAGGGTTGTCCAAGTTTAAGCTCCTTCCATGCCTACAAGCACAGACCTGAAATTTGATGCATTAACGTTGTCAGGGCTTGATGGGGAAATATAAAGCACATGTCTGAATTTCCATCTGAGTCATTGTTTGTTGGCTTCCTAACTGTAGTCTAAACGAAAAGCTTATAGTGTTGTAAGCAAGACAGATATTTCCTAGTCATTTGGGATAGTCTAAGCACACAGACACCCACACCAATCTTAGGACACCAGAATTTTGCACCTAATTGACAGGTAGGAGGTTAATCTTACCTTCCCTTTGATACTGTTTCAATTATTCCAGACCATTTTCTGCATTCCTGTAGCTTATCTGGGTCACTCATTTTGGCACTTAACCTCATACCTCTTTGTATTGATTGTTAAGTCTTTCATGTGTCTGTGTCTCCAGAAGCAGGGTTATAAGCTTTGGGAAGGAAGCCTGTCTACCATAATACAGCGAGTGAGTGAGTGAATAAAAAGATTTTCCCGGGGCCGGCCCGGTGGCGCACTGCTACAGTGCGCCACTTGGGAGCGCGGCGGCGCTCCCGCCGAGGGTTCGGATCCCACATACAGACCGGTTCCCGCTCACTGGCTGAGCGAGGGGTGGGCGCAGCACCGAGGGTTGCTATCCCGTTGCCGGTCCCGGTCCGGTACGGGCGCGACACTGAGGGTTGCGGTCCGTTGCCAGACACAAAAAAAGGGAAAAAAAAAAAAAGATTTTCCCCTATTATGGTGATATGTACATTTATTGATTTATTAGAATAGCCACTTGGGAAGGTCCTAGAGCCCATGTACTCTAGTGATAAGAGTAATAGTTCTTTTTTCCAGATTTTAAAATGTTGTTCCTACTTAAGCAGCTAACAAATCTAATCAGCAGATCCATAAGTTTCTTCCCACATTTAACAAATATTTGAAGGCTTACTGTGTGCCAGACACTATTAGCAGAATTAGCATAACCACATAATGTTCATATCCAAGGTTCATATCCATGTTCTGGCATGTTAAGACTGAGAGATTTTGTTTGTTTATATTTGCTTTATGGTAGCTTTATATTTTAGTCTGTTTTGCATTGCTATAACAGAATTACCTGAGACTGGGTAATTTATAAAGAACAGAGATTTATTTGGCTTATGATTCTGGGACAACTGCATCTGGCACTGGCCTCAGGCTGCTTCTAGTCATGGCGGAAAGTGGCAGGCAGCCAGCGGGTACAAGCAGATCACATGGTGAGAGAGGAAGCAAGAGAGAGGAAGGAGGTGCCAGGGTCTTTTAAACAACAAGCTCTCGTGGGAACTAATAGAGCAAGAACTCACTCATTAATACTCCCTCCCCCAGGGAGAGCCTTAATCCACTCATGAGGGATCCGCCCCCATGACTCAATCAGTTTCCAACACTGCCACATTGGGGATCAAATTTCCACATGAGTTTTGGAGGGCACATCACATCCAAACTCCATCTTTTGTTTTTTCTTTCTTCCACCCCATTAAAAACAAACAAAAAACCAAGTAGTTCTCATTCATTCCACCCTCATCACTGAGTTGTTTGGTGCATTACATGCTCCCATCTAACTCTCTGGGTTGTATAGCCAAGTCCCTAGACAGGACACAGGTTGTGATATTGTACAAAATAATATCCAGGACCACACCTGAGTAGGGAGGAGAGTTGATTTCATTTGGTTTGTGCTTTCTTCGAGAGACAAAACTCATACTGGAACTTAAACCAGAAACCACTCAAACATTTGAATAAATTAGGTGAATTACTGCCACACCTGTAATTCAGGAGAGTGCCAGCCATGAAACATGCCCCTGCAGCTGTGAGGGAGCTGGCCTCCACCACACACACAATGGACTACAGTCTCTAAATTCAAAAAGTTCCCTCTACAATAACATGACCAACTGTGATTGCACTTACCATATTAAATTTTAATTGTCTGTTTCTCCACTGAATCCTACCCTCCAGGGTAAAAGTTATGTGTTACTTATCTTTACATCTCAGCACCTTGCACATTGTCCTATACATGGAAAATGCTTAGTAAAGGGCCGGCCCGGTGGCGCACTGAATAAGTGCGCCGCTTGGGAAGCGCGGCGGCGCTCCCGTCCGAGGGTTCGGATCCCACATACAGACCGGTTCCCGCTCACTGGCTGAGCGAGGCGCAGGAGCAGCACTGAGGGTTGTGATCCCGTTGCCGGTCCCCGGTCCGGTACGGGGGCAACACTGAGGGTTGCGATCCGTTGCCGGACATGGAAAAAGACAAAAAAAAAAAAAAAAGAAAATGCTTAGTAAAATTTTGCTGAATTAATTAAAGAGGCTTAATATTAACATTGAATATTGTTTAAGAGTATGCTAGAGCTGCCTACTCTACCCACATATTTGATTATAAATGTACATGAGTGTACCAAGTTGGGGGGATTGCACAGCAAGAAAATGGAAGAGTAAGACAGAAGACTTGGAAAAATCTAGAACTCAGCTTTTAAAATTTGTTTTACTCTATTCTTTACCTTAATCCCTCAAACTAGGAAACATGGATCTAAATGCCTTGTGCATTGCAAGATGGGGGTGAGTCGCTCAGCCTCCACTGTGATTGCCTATGCAATGAAGGAATATGGCTGGAATCTGGACCGAGCCTATGACTACGTGAAGGAAAGACGAACAGTGACCAAACCCAACCCCAGTTTTATGAGACAACTGGAAGAGTACCAGGGGATCTTGCTGGCTAGGTGAGTCCTTAAGTGACTTTCTCAGATTCTTCCTTCTTTAGGCTCCCTAAGGCAAGGTGAAATATCCTTCTCTGCAGCTAGTTCTCAGCATAATTTGGATGTGATACTTTTTGAAAATAGACTTCTTTCTTTATCAATCCAGTTTTCGAAAAGTAAATACTAGCATTTAAAATTAGCATGGAAGGGGCCGAGCCTGTGGCGCACTGGGGAGAGTGTGGCGCTGGCCACGGGTTCGGATCCTATATAGGGATGACTGGTGTGCTCACAGCGCTCACTGGCTGAGCGTGGTGCGGCCGGTCTCAAAAAGGACAAGAAAAAAAAAAAATAGCATGGAAGATTAGGCATTTAATCTTTCAGTTGGTATAATTAACTAAAAGAAGGAAATACTTTTCCCTTATTTATGCTAGGAGTAGCTGAAATTCTTGGAAATTTTTTGGCCCATTCTTTTTTTAAAAAAAAAAAATGTACCTGCTGCTACTTTGGGTATTTTTTTTCCTTCAGTGCTTGGTTTCAGTGACCACTCCCTATTAATTTTGGTCATGTGACAAATCAGCAGAATTGGGATGTATATAACCCATTTGTGAGGTATTTAGGTACTTCCCAGAAATGCTTTCTTGTTTACTTTTTTAAAAAATCTTTTAATCCAATTTTTTGTATATACTTTGTATATACAAAATAAAATTAAAATGCAGAAAATTACAGAGGGAAAAAATGATTTATAAGGTCAATACAGGTAACATTTGACATTATTGTACCTATTTCTCTAGGTTTTGCTCTATCACATATTTTTTTATTAGCATATTCATTATTAAAAATCATGCTTATTCTTTAAGCCCCTTATCTAATCTCTCCTCTTCTCTCTCCCTCCTCTAATAATCATAGGTTTGTTTTCTCCATCTGATAGATTAACTGTTCTTCTGTTAATTTGTTGCCTAGAGGATCTTTCCAGTACTGAGACAAGTGTGATCAAGTCTTCCCCTATTATTGTAAAGCAAATGCTTCTTCTATTACTCTGGAGTGTGCTTTGTGGAGAAAGAGGACCTCTTCTTTTTATTTTTTTTTTTTTTGGACTCTGCTGGTGCCTTTCCTTGTGTCAATGCAGTTGAGAGTCTGGTATGCTATTTGCATAGTGGCTATGACTGCTGCTGCTATAGAGACTAGTCGCTTTTGTGACAGCCATGGCAATTGTGGTGGTTATGGGGGACTACCCCACGTAGAAATGATGTTTTTGGTTTGCTTTTTACCTGGTTAAGACTGGGTTTGCCTTCTCCCGGCTGCATGCATCAGGACCCCGGCAGTGTCCTGGGGTGGCTTACTTGCAGCTGGGTTTGGCTTCGCTCGGCTCCATGCCTCAGGACTCCCCCTAGCACTTATTTTGATGGAAATATTTTTGCAAAAACTGTTCTACAGCCTATCTCTCCAGTCAGTACTAGGTTTTGAATGTCTTCCTGTATCCAGATGTTTTTAATAATAATTTAGTAATTGGTTATAAAAACTAATATTTAATTTTACTACACAACTACCCCTTTGGTGGTAAAGCTGCATTCAGCTTTTCTTGGGAACAAACATCAAATATTGAACTATCTAAGTATTAGTCTACTAAGATGCCACATGCTGAAATTTTACAGATTGCTAGATTTTGCTTTGTTTTTCCCATTAGGCATGTTCTAGGTGGTTTTGTTAGGGTGAAGGCACAGCTATCTAGAAGCAGCTGGGGCTGGTGCCATGGTTTGAGTCCAGCAAGTCTCATGACTTGGTCTTGACTCTTGAATCTGGGCTGTGTTTCCCTTGAGCAAAATGTTAAATAGCCTTCCAGCCTATCAAAGCAAAGAGACCACCCTCCCACCCCTGAAGTATTGTGAAAATGTGGCCACAGCAGAGCATTATGGTTTCCACTAAAATACCCCTCCCATTTACTCAGCATTTGGCATGATTTCATCTGAGCTCTTCTCTTAGGAGTCTAGGAGGATACTCAAGCCTTCTCTGTTTAAAAGAATTTATAGGTCTTTGGGGCCAGATTTGATAACATTTTTAGATTAGATCAGAAGTTAGGACACAGCAGTTCTTTTTGGCACAAGAAAGAGCCATCTGAGGGTTTGATGAGACATGAATATTGTATATTCCCAGACACACATATGACGGATGTTAGGCAGTGTCCTCACGTGACCCATTGAGAGGAAGGATACTATGTGTCCTGCCAATTTTAGTATTTATTCTGGAATCCCAAGCTACTGCAATCTGTTGGGTTGGGTTTTTTTAAGCATACGTCGTTTTTCTTAGATGTTAAAGGAATTACAGAAAAATCTTAGATGAGGATAAGAAGGGCAGCATAAACCCAGAAATCCCATAACCCCTTCCTCTTCCCTTTCTCTTTCTTTTTCCATTCCATCCTGACTTGCTGGGCTTGATTCATAGAGGGAGGGACAAGCCCTGGGGAGAGAAAACCACATAATTTGAGTCAGTAGATCTGATCTGGTTTTCATTCCTGTTTCAGCCCTTTGCTTCAACTCCTTGCTTCAACCTTGAGAAGTTAGTTAACATTTCTGATCCTTACCTGACCCTATCTATAAAATGAAAACCAAGAGATCTGCCTCATAGGGTTATTGTGAATAAAATTAAAATATGTATTAAATATTCATTATGTATTGTTGAGGGTTATTCAGATGTGATTCTCATCATCTCCTTCCTCCAAGGCTACCCAGAACACACACATGTATGTGTACCATTTATTTCCTCCTGCTTGACATCAACCACTGCCTCCCACCACCCACAGACACACTAACTCCATTAGAAACTGGAATGGGAAGTGTTCCTGGAATTTACTATATTGTGGTGTTTCCTAGATTTTAAGTGCTAGAATCTAGTACTAGGGCTATTACTTATGCTGTTTTGGGCTGCAAGGAATAGAATACCTCCATCAATTAGGGTCTAAACAAGACACAGCACACTCGACTAGGGTTATTTGAAGAGGGCTTTATAAAGCGACTATTTGCAAAGGTGTGGCATTGTAGTGGAATCAAGGGACTTATATCAGCAGAGTGGTAGCGTCTATGCCTAAAGAGGGAGGAAGCAGTTACTAGAACCTGGAAGGAGACTCCCGTAGAGAAAGGTACCTTTGGCTGGGTGGGTTGGAGGGGGAGGAATTTTTTTAAATGGCATCTTCAGAGACAAGCAATAAACCAGTCACAGGGACACAGTTAGCCTGAGGTGACCCTGTCGGGAGGGAGCTAAGGGGTATATTATTATAATATTCTATGTTAAGGGATATATTAATGAGTATATTTATAAACCCTGCCCTCACTCTTCTCCCTCCAGTCTCCTTCCGGGGCTTCCCATTAGCCAAACCCTGTGGAAGTCAGAAGACAAGACAAGAGGGCCTGTGATGTGGTCCATAGATCAGCCTCCAGGGCAGAGAGCAGGGTGGAGAAGCTGAAGAGTGGACCTGCAGGGGTAAATAGAAGCTATCTTGCCCAACACCCAGCTACAAGTAGTTTTAAACATTGGACCATTCATCATCTCCTATAATGATAAGCACAATAGTAGTCTCTGTAATGGTTCAGTGGTGATGTAATCAGAGATTCTGGTGCTCTCTGTCTTTCTGCTCTACCTTCCTTAGTAGGCTTGGTCCTTGAGGTTGTCTCCTCCTGATTGCCAGACGTCTGTCATTTCTAGGCATCTACATGTAAATAGCACAGCATCTTCAGCACACAGCTGAAGAAAACGGTATTTAAATTAGGGAGGAGGACCTTTCCCAGAAGTTCCCCATAGACTTTCCCTCAGGACCCATATGCCTAAAACCAATCAATGGCCAAGGAAATAGAATTTCCAGGACTGGCTAAAACATATTCACTTTTATCCTCTGGACCTAGGGAAGTGCCACATTATCTAAATTCATGGGACAGTGAATACCCAAACCAAATCAGGCCTCTGACAGTAAGAAAAATGGCTGTGTGTTACAGCCATTAGGATCTGCAGTCTATGATGTGTTGTCAGGAAACCCTGGCATTTGTAGTATAACTGTCAAGTGAATGAGGCCCATCAGACTCTTGCCCAGCCCGAAAGTGCTGCTGTAGGATCTACCTGCTTAGAAGTGCAAAGAAAGAGAATTGCAGACTCCTGTGACTGCCTGAAGCTCTATGAAGCCTTGAGTTTAAGTAACCAGGAGAGGAAACTCCTTAGAAAAGCTCTACTCATTCTGTTTGCAAAGAAATTCCATTTCCTGTCCAGGTGTTTGGATCTGGTATTTCATATCTTCTTCCCAGGAGGCATTCGATGGTTTTCTCAAAGAGGCAGAGCCCTGATCCTAGCATTCTCTAGGTCCGTGGTTATCCAGGGTTGTACTAGATGCTTAACTTGAGGTGTTAGCTCTCTACTTGAGGGTATTAAGTTAGTGCTTTGACCTCTTAGTAGCAGAGAAGTTTACCAAAGTGACATCAGTTTCCTGTACTGATTTATGAATTAGTTACGGTCTTAATTAGAGTGTGTGGGTGTGGGTCAAGCAGTGACAGCCCCTCTGAAATACAAGGGATGTTTTTCATCTTTCAATATATCATTAGGAGCCCGGAGAAGGCTAATATTTAATATTCCCCTTTAGACCTAAAAAGGAAGGTATCATAAAGCTATTGATACTATTCATATATGATTTTATTTTTACTGTTTTTATAATTGAGGGATGGGAACAAGACAGGAAGGAGGGAGGGTGTGAGTATGTGCACGCACATGTGTGTGTGTGTGTGAAAACTCTCCATTAAACTGCCAGCAGCCCTGTTTGTTATTCTGCACTCTGGTCATGCGGGTATCTGGCAGATTTATGTTCCATTAGACAGGTTCAGATTTCAGGCAGACAGTTTGCAAGCTGGACCATGTGGTGTCTGTGGTATTTGGTTCCAGTGTATACAGGGCAAGGAAGAAAAACTGGGTGGTGACCAGAGAGAGTTTGTGCCGCACGTCTTCAGAAATATCAGTTTTGGGGCCGAGCCCGTGGTGCACTCGGGAGAGTGCGGGGCTGGGAGCGAAGCGGCGCTCCCACCGCGGGTTCAGATCCTATATAGGGATGACCACCGGTGCGCTCACTGGCTGAGCACGGTGTTGCCGGTCTCAAAAAGGACAAAAAAAAAAGAAATATCAGTTTTGATTCTTCATTTGAATGCCCTTGTCACAGGTCCAGGGGAAGCAGGATTGTCTTTTACCATGGCTTTGCTGGTGGAGACATTGACGTGTAGTTAGCTGGTACACAGTGGTCAGGCAGCCAGCAGCAGGAAACCTGAGAATGAAAGGACATGGATTCCTGGTCAGGTGACAGCCAAGTGCAATTGAAGTTTAAAAGGGTTTTCTTAATAGCTTTTCAGTTAAATAATCTTAAAGCATCTAGGACCATGCACAACACATAGAAAATTCTCAATTAATGCTTTTTCTCTCCTTTCTGTAGGCTGCCTAGTACCCTAAAAAAGTCACCATAAACAGTCTGATTTTACTGTAACTGGTACTCTATTTTTAGCAGTATTTTTCTCCATATAAATTTCTCAGAGTTGATGCTTTACCAAATGTATAACAAAAGAAAGTAAATGAAGGCAAAAGAATGGGGTGCCTTATGTATATTGTCATTTAAATTTCCTTCTTGTTCATTTAACTAAGTGAAAAGCCAAATTCTTACCCACAATGGCCTAGTCATCTCATGTGTGTCTGTGTGTTTATTATGAATACAAATTCAGGTCAGAGGCCACTCAAGAGGGAAAAGGATCTGAGACTTGATTGCATCATCCAGGCCACAGACCAACTCTGAAGTTCTTTTTTGGCAACTTGTTTACTTGCTGCCTGCCTGGGATAGGTGGAGGAAGTCAGTATGTATTTAAAAGTTAACAGTTTAATATAATATATATAATCTAAAATCTTACTTCTATCCCTACCAGTGATGGAGCATTAGAATGAGCTGGCTTAGGACAAAACTTCATTGGAAAACAGTTTAGTGTTACCAGATAAAATTGATAACACACACATACCTATAGCGCACCTTTTCCACTCCTATATATAACACCTTTGAGAAACTTAGGTGTGTACCAGCCACAAGAATGTCCATGACAGTGTTGTTTATAATAGCCAAAACTGTTAAGCAACAGAATGGATAGATTGCAGCATATTTTTACTCTATGAATTACATTTGCCCATGATGATGAATCTTAAAAACATAATGTTAGGCAAAAAATCAGTTGCAGAGGAATACATGTAGTGTGACTTCACTTATATAAAGTACAAAACATGCAAAACTAAGCAGCATATTGTTAAGAACAAAACATGGTGACACTATAAAGAAAGAAAATAAATGATAAGCACAAAATTCAGGATAGAGGTTACCCCTGAGGGGGAAGAGGAGGGAGGGGATCAGAAAGGGGCACAGAGAGTAGCAGAGCTTCTGAGATAATGGTGATGAATATCATCACTGTATCAGAGAGCTGCCCACTCTCCCTCAAGACCTTATTGCAAGAATGAAAAAGGCAGCAGTATAGACTTTTCGTTGGCTTAGGATTTTTCTTTCTCCTTTACAAGTAGTTGTCAGTTTAATTCCAGAGCCCAGACCCAATATTTTCCGATGATTATCTACCTCAGGAAGAGAAGGAAGTTCCTGCTGGGCAGCACAGCTGTGATGTCAGCTACTTCCTCTGAAACATGTACTCTGTGTGCCTATTAGCATAACTTCAGTCTCATTCCCTCCTGAGACTGATTAGTGATTTGCAGGAAGTTTTAAAAAAGACTTTGAAGGATTCTTGGGATCATGAAAAATTCTCATTTGCCTGTTGACTGAAAAGATAAGCTGTTTTTTCATATTATAGAAGAGTGAAAACAGCTACCCACTGAGATGTCTTCCCAGTTATTTGCATCACAGGTTTTATCCTATCATGGTGGGTAAGAGGAGTTAATGCAGTTTTGAACCTCTTCATGATAGGTGAGTGATAGAAATTGAAGAACACAATCATATTTAGGTCAGGAAACAAGTGTGTCTGGATATAAAAGAAAAAACTAAAAGGAAGCACATTGGCCACAGTAGGTCATAATGTATAGTTTAGGCCCCACCTGTCCGAGCAGTCAGCTTGCCCCTCCCCACAGCCACTCACTTGTTTGAGATGTGTGATGTTGTCTCCTCCTAGGGGCGGCTAGAGTTCATGCAACTGGGAAAGCATAAAGACCCCCCCCACACACCCGCCTTACACCCAGCTAATTGATTGCATCTTGTCTTCATAAACAGATTGACCTCCCTACCCAGGAAAGCACCCCTCTTCTTTGCAGGCCTGAGTCAGAGAAAGCCCCACCCAAGCAGCCGGCAAGGGTTGCTAAGAGCAGGTGCAGAGCTGAGAACAGGGTGTCACATTAGTGCAGGCGTATGACTCAGCAGAGCCTGGGTGTGGCCCTGAGCCTGGGGCAAGTTGTTTTGGGCTGAGTTTCCCATTCCACCCTGCAGTTCGGTAACTCTTCATCAGCTTGTAAGTCATAGAGATGGCACCCCCCAAGCACCACACTTAGTGACCTGTTTCCTGAGCAAATGATCCTGACCAACACAAGACCTTTCTCTTTTTGGCTGGGGCTTTGGGAACTGTGCTTCCTTGTTAGTGTGGTTTGAAATGAAATCTTATCCCCACCTCACACCTTCTCTCCATAAAGTAAACCAAAGGATGGATGTTTGTGTATGGTCTACCTAAAGCCCACCTGCTTTTTCAGGTGTCATCTTAACTTGATGGTTTTATCTAAAGATCCTTCTGGAAAGGGCCTGTCCTTTATGCTCATCCACTTCATTCTGTTACTGAGTTTCCATCCAATTTTACTAGCCCCATCTTTGCTTTCTAATTCCAGAATGAGTACCATCCTCCTTACACCCCCACAACAGTCATTAATCCTACATTAGCTCTTCATCTCAATTATGAGGACTAGGTAATGGGCTCCAATACAGTATTTCCCTTTGTATTACTTATATGTTATTTTGATTTTAGATTTTTTTTTCTGGTTATAATTGTTAAACATGCTCATTTTTAAAATTTTCAAAAATTATAGAAATAGAAAATAAAGGTAGTAAAGGCCATCCCCAGAAGTATTTCCACCTTCCTTAAAGAATTGATGTGGGGGTTGCCTGTGGCTCACTCGGGAGAGTGCGTGCTTAAAGAATTGATGTTCCTCCATATTTTTTCCTATACTTAAGCTAATGTGGAAACCATCCATTCCAAATGTGTTCAACATGCTTTTTCATTTAATAGTATACCTTAGACATCATTTATCTAAAATATCTGACAGTCTTTAACAGCCTCATAGCATATAGTTGTATGGACTGTAATTTATTTATTTAATTTTTTTTTTAATTTTTTATTTTTTTTAAGATGAGCGGCAAGGGGATCTTAACCCTTGACTTGGTGTTGTCAGCACCACACTCTCCCAAATGAACCACGGGCCAGCCCTGGACTGTAATTTAAATAATCCTTTTTTTTTTTTCGGTGTATAATTTTTTAGTATCACAAGCAGTGTTATAGTAAACATCCTTGTACATGTATCTTTGTATTTTTCCAAGAAAAAATCTTAAAAGAAGAATTGCTGGTTAAAGGGTTAAATTTGGAGAGGTATTGCCAGATTTTACTCTTAAAAGTGCTACAATTCACTCCTACCAACAGTGTATGAGAGGGCTTGTTTGGCCATACCATCATCAACACTAGCCGTTACCAACCATTTTAGTGCCTGACCATATGCTAAGTAAAAAATCAGGTCTCATATTCATTTGTTGTCGTTCTTGTTGTTGTTGTTGATTTGCTTTTTGTTTTTTGCTATTAAGTTGAGCATCTTTCCAAATGTTTATTGCCTAGTTCCATAGAGCAGTAACAAAGCATTTTGCAGGTTAATATTTAAGTTTCCTGGGAAGGGTGTATGTTGATTGTTTTCATAAACCAGAGTAAGGCAAAAGTTTCCTGTATATGTCCTCCACAGCAAACAGCGGCATAACAAACTCTGGAGATCTCATTCAGATAGCGACCTATCAGACCACCATGAACCCATCTGCAAACCTGGGCTAGAACTCAACAAGAAGGAGATCACCACCTCAGCAGACCAGATTGCTGAGGTGAAGACCATGGAGAGTCACCCACCCATACCTCCCATTTTCATGGAACATGTGGTCCCACAAGATGCAAATCAGAAAGGTCTCTGTACCAAAGAAAGAATGATCTGCTTGGAGTTTACTTCTAGGGAATTTCATGCCGGACAGATTGAGGATGAATTAAACTTAAATGACATCAATGGATGCTCGTCAGGGTGTTGTCTGAATGAATCAAAATTCCCTCTTGACAACTGCCATGCATCCAAAGTCTTAATCCAACCTGGACAAGCCCCAGAAATGGCCAGCAAGTTCCCAGACTTAACAGTGGAAGATTTGGAGACAGATGCACTAAAAGCAGACATGAACGTTCACTTACTGCCCATGGAAGAATTGACATCTCGACTAAAAGACCTCCCCATGTCCCCTGATCCTGAGTCACCAAGCCCCCAACCCAGTTGCCAGGCTGAAATTTCAGATTTCAGTACAGATCGCATTGATTTTTTTAGTGCCCTAGAGAAGTTTGTAGAACTGTCCCAAGAAACCCGGTCCCGATCTTTTTCCCACTCAAGGATGGAGGAAGTGAGTGGAGGAAGGAATGAGAGCTGTCGACTGTCAGTGATAGAAGTAGTCCCTTCCAAAGTGACAGCTGATGACCAGAGAAGCAGCTCTTTGAGTAATACTCCCCATGCATCTGAAGAATCTTCAATGGATGAGGAACAGTCAAAGGTAAAAACTATCTTTATAGTTGTCCACCTAATGAAGTTCTCTTAAAAGACAAAATATTTGGAATTCTGTTGTGTTCACTTTATTTTTGATGTTGCTAAAGATTTAGGAAGGCACTATGAGAGGAGAGTCTGGCCCAGATTTTCCTTGAAAACTTAGGGTTTAAATATTTTTAAAATCTGTTTCCTTTTGAAGAGTTTATCTTTCTAGGTTTTTGGTGTCATTGGAAGGACTTCTGAAAGGGTATGATAGAGGAAGGGATTAGCCAAAAGTCCTGGCTGAACAAGGAGAGGTCGCCCCTCTGGACTCTGCAATTAAGATCAAATCTTACCAATACTGAAGTGCCAGGGATTCTGATGCTGCCTGAGTGAAACATGTGCCTCTTTGAGAAGATGGATTTGTTTGGGAAATTCTTTTTGTCTCAGAACATTCAAAGACTAGGCATGTATAAATAGTTGTTAGAGTAGCAACTGATTCCATGCTGAGCTCTTGCTATTAATAATGTTTCTGAATTCTTCATTTCTGACCCTGTGGTACTCAAGAATCAAGGTTTGGTTTGGGGAAGTGAATTTGAGAGCAGACAGAATCCTAAGATTCTTCTTAGTGGCACATGAGCTCTTACAAGCCATCTCAGATCAGGGAAAAAATTATGTCATCATTTCTAAGACTCATTTATTCTCATTTTGACAATTCAGAAATTGGGATGCATCTTATAAACAATGGTATCTTAGATCAATAAAATAGTTGGGAAATAAATGGTGACAGATTTACTCTACATACCAACCTTCACTTAATGAGTTTAGTTGAGCTGACTAGATTCTTGACATCTCCTGATGTCTGTCTACTTCTGTTTACCACCTTGTCCATTAATCATCTTTTCTCTGTCTCTTTAACTACCCCAGGGCAATTCTTGCCTCTGCTTCTGTCTTCTCCCCTCCCAAAAGGCTATGGCTCTGTTTCATTTCTACTGGAAAGTCAGAATGCTTGAGCTCTCCTATGGATCAATGGATGTAGCAGCATGAACAGAAATAGCCTTTCTGCAAAGTCCCTGATCATATGAGCATTCCCTCCATGGCCCATGCACACACCGGGTCTGCTATGGCTTTTCTCCCAGTCTTGGCAAGTTCACCTCTGCCTGATGTCCTGGCAGATTTCTCCCAAAGCATGACTGACCTTGTTAGTTTGTACTAACTCTGACTGTCTTTTAAAGGAAAAAGGCCAGAACAATTCATAGGGAAATATTGTACTTTGAAGGCTTATAAAAACAGTAAAAAAGTAGATTGATAGTCATAAAGATACTACTCTAAGAGGTGTCCAAAGACCATTTCCAAATATTGAAATTCTTATTTTTTTACAGTAGGACCTGCTTTTGCATTGGCCAATTTTCCTCGGCCTTGTTCTAAAGCCATCTCAGAATTTGTAACTGGTAGACTAGTAAAATGTCAGTGTCATGGTTTCTAAGTTTGCTGAGGCACATGGCTAGATGAGCCAAGTAAACCTTTCCCAGAAGGAGCCGTGTGAAATTTAGAAAGTACAGTCAGATACAGAGTGCATTCTCCTTGCCCTTATGTGCTGGGATGCTGCTGCTAGGAGAAGCAGTGGAAGGGTGTGGATGAAAGCTAGCAAAACAGAGAGAATAGAGTGGTGAGTCCCCAGATCAGACATCAGAAGATAGCCTTATCCATCTTGCCCTGTCTGACACTGGGCATATCTAAGGTGGCCACTAGCCCCTGAATGGAACCCTCCTCCTTGAATAGATTAGGATCAAACTGGAAGTGGATAGGCCAGAGGGGAAAGGTTTCATTTACCCTCATAGGGCCTGAATCCTGGAGGCTCATGGTCTTAGGAAAATATGGATTATAGGAGCCTCCAAAGCTATTTGCTACTCATTTGGGAGTAAGGTATTAGATTGGAATCCTGCTTGGATAAACAGAACAGAAAGTTTAGTAGACAGCAACACAGCTTATAAAGAATTTTGTACCTGTGGCCTTGATGAATCCCAGTTTTTTCTTGTAGTCTGACAAAACACATGGGCAGAGTATGGTTCTGGGCATGCCATCATTTATGTTCTCATGGCCAGATAAGTTCTCCTGAGTCAGAGGATTAATAAGCAGAAAATCTGGCATTTTCAATTAGAATTCGCCATAATTATCTCACTACTTTCTCTTCTCAGGCAGTCTCAGAACTGGTCAGCCCAGAGACCTTCATGCAATCTCACTCAGAAAATGCAGTTTCAGTCAAAGAAATCATCACTGAAATTGAGTCCATCAGTCAAGGAGTTGGACAGATCCAACCTAAAGGAGACATCCTATCTAACCCATGCCATACACCAAAGAAGAACACCATCCATGAGCTGCCCCTTGAGAGGCCCCAGGCCCCAGAGAACAAACCTGGACCTCTGGAGCAGGACGAGGGTTTCTGCACAGCCCAGCCCAAACTAGCCAAACACTCAGGGAAGTGCGACTCAGAAGGCTGCCTAACCACGCACTCATCCACAGCAGACTGGGAAGAAGAGGAACCAGAGGGGGAACAAGAGCTCCATGGCCCAGGGATGCATCCGGGTGCCAAGTGGTGCCCTGGATCTGTGAGGCGAGCCACCTTGGAGTTTGAAGAGCGCTTACGGCAGGAACAAGAGCATCATGGTGCTGCCCCTGCATGTACCTCATTGTCCACTCGAAAGAATTCCAAAAATGATTCTTCTGTAGCAGACCTAGCACCAAAAGGGAAAAGTGAAGAAGCTAACCCAGAACATTCATTTGTCCCTAAGGAACCAGAGATGAACAAGGGCAGTGGGAAATGCAGTGGGTCCGAGGTTGGCCCACTATCCCATTCTGAGCAGAATGCCATTTTTCCAGCACCTGAGCTGCTGGAATTTCACCCCTTTCCAGCTCCTCAGGAGTGCCCAGGGTCAGATGTTAGAACAAAGCAGGAAGGGGTCCTGAAGGAACAGAGAACTGTGATTTCATACCAGGGGTCTGAAATACAGGCATTCCCTCTCCCCCTTCCCAAGAGGATAGAAATCATTGAGTATACCCACACAGTTACATCACTTGATCACACTGGGCTAGGGGGTAAAATAGCCACCAGCAAAAACAGTGGGGAGCAAGGACTGAGGAAAGTGAAAGTGGAGAAGTCGGTCACTGTGCTCTGTGCATTGGATGAAAATCTGAACAGGACTCTAGATCCCGACCAGGTTTCTCTGCACCCTCAAGTGCTACCTCTTCCTCATTCTTCCTCTGCTGAGCACAACAGGCCCACTGACCCAGCCTCCACACTGAGCAGCACTGAAGACAGCAGCAACAGCCCAGCTACAGCCCTGGAGACAATAGCGTCTTTTGTCGGTTGCACAACCCACACACCGTCTGCCAACTTGGATTACCTGCATCCCCAGACCATGGTTCACCTGAAAGGCTTCACAGAGCAAAGCAGCACCACAGATGAGCCCTCTGCAGAACAGCCTAGCTGGGAAGAAAGTCAGGAGGGCCCCCTCTGCAGTGGCAGTGAAGTGCCATACCAGGGCTCCCAGTTAAGTAGCAAAGACTTGAGTTTAATTGGCAATCTTGGTGAAAACATTGGGGAGTTAGAGGAAAAACTGGACCCATCATCTTTAGCCTGTCAACTCCCACATAGCGCTAGTGAAAATATAAAGGGTCTCAGCCACAGCCCCAGTGTGGTGAAGGAGTGCACTAACGAAATCGAGTCCCAAGTGATTTTTCAGGCAGAACTCACCAAACCATCCCAAATGAGGCGCTCAGCTTCTCTCGCCAAGTTATGTTACTTGGACCTCTGCAAAGACTGTTTACCAGAGAGGGAGCCTGTCTCCTCTGAGTCCCCTCATCTCAAACTGCTTCAGCCCTTTATCAGAACAGACTTGGGCATGCATACCATGGAGGCTCGGGAGCCCCTAGAAAACCCAGGTGCCTCCAAGAACCCAGAGCCCACCAAGTATTTTGTAGAGCAACTCAAAACTACAGAGTGTATCGTGCAAAGCAAGCCAGTGGAGAGGCCCCTTGTGCAGTATGCCAAAGAATTTGGTTACAGTCAGCAGTGTTTGCTCCCCAGGGCAGGACCTGAATTGACTAGTTCTGAAGGAGGCCTTCGTCTGCTACAGACCCAGGGACTGCTGTGTGCAAGCCCAGCTCTAGGGCTGGCTGTGGCACCCCGTCAGCAACATGGCAGAACTCACCCACTTAGGAGACTGAAAAAGGCAAATGATAAAAAACGGACAACCAACCCCTTCTATAATACCATGTGATTCTGAGCCTATACGTGTGACTTTCTCAAAGAAATGTTTGTAAAAGGGGCAGGTGTAATATGTAAGGAACATGCACTTTATTGGTTAATTTTATAATATTTTGGTCATTTTACTGTTTCTGGCGCATGCAGGGTTTGGATTTTTCTCTGTGTGTGTGTGTGTGTGTGTGTGTGTGTGTGTGTACTATGTAAGGAGAGAGAGAGATTGATTTGAACAGCAAGACCATTTTTCATTTTTTATTTTTAAAAAATTCAAACCTCAAAAAAAACTCATTTTCAAAGAACACCTTTATCAAAGGCAAATTGCTGTTTTTCAGTCAGCTACCACCTGCTCCTTATTTTGCCCTCTGAGAAAAGGCATGCAGATGGAGAGGGTGGAGATGAAGCTGGGAATTGAAATGCTCCCCCCTGGGGCCTTTGTGATGATGGTTTGGTTTCCAGACCTGAGGCATTGGATGGCCTGCAGGGTGACAGGTTGTCAGAGTGCTCTCGGCCTTTGTCTCCAGCCCCAGCCCTTTGGAGTTCCTGAAATAGGCAGGTTCTGCTCTGTTTTAAAAGGGGATCTTCCAGAATCCATTTCTGCTGGTATTCCAGAGTGTATTGTTACAGAAAGACATGATAATGGCTGGCTTTGTAAGTTTATCAAGCAAATAGTTTTCTCCCCAGGAAAATTTTTTGATATTAAATTAAAAGGGAAGCCCAAACGAAGTCCAAGACATCTTCTGTTTAGGGAAACATGTTAAGAGGAGGAGGACATAAGTTGGGGGTGGAAAACCTGCTGCTTAGTAATTTCTGGGTTGGTGGGCTCCACACAGGTGGTCACCCTGGCCCTTCCTGCCAGAAAATGTGCTCTGCAGCATCCTCTCAGCTAAAACACAATAGTGACAAATTTGAAAAACAGCAATCAAAAGTCAATGTGTTCTTGTAAAATGAATACATACATAGGGTTTTAACTCTTCCATTACTTGAATAATTCTGTGGGCCTTGAGTTTAATGGCCATATTTTTTTCCCATTTATTTTCCTCCCCCATATGTTTCCCCCATGCTGCCTTTTTTTTAATCCATTATATTTGAATTGTTAATTACATATGTATAACCTTCATTGAATGCAAAGTTTTCTTTTGTATATTATCACTGTTAACACTTGACATAATTTTTCTTTCCCTGGAAGTTTTGTCATTTCTCTAAAGTTTATACACAGTGTTTATGTACATAATGTCATTTTCTTACAGTGTTTTGTTGTTGATGTAGGGTCTTTTTGATTTATTCTTTTAAAGAAGGAATAGAGTTGCAACTGGAAAACACAAAGATAGCAGAAATAAAACTGATGGGTATTGACAGGAATCTGCACAATATATTGATGGTGATTTCAGTGTTTAAATGCAGACTTCTAATTGTCAGCTCCTGCCAAATTGTGCATTAGTAACTTCCTCCTCAGAGAAAGACTACTCTAAAGGCTCCCTTTAGGTCACAGTGTAACTGTAGGCTGATTTCTCTTTGAAACTGAAATCCCACAATGTTATCTGCCAGTAGCTGAACCACAGCCAGGGAAGGTGTATGAGTTGCCCGGAGTGGTAGCTCCTAATGGAAGCTAGAGGCCGCAGGAGAGTCTTCCACCACGGGCAAGTGCTCAGTGACTCCATGTAGGATGCTGTTGCTTTTTAACACAGGAGCACTTGCCATAAACAAGCCTCTTTCAGCTTCTTACAGAAAACAATTTAACCTGGAATGAAACACCTCTGCAGCTCATCAGTACTGATGAAGTTTGCAAATTTGCTTTCTGTTTGCTTTGGTTGATGTCCACATTGCTGAGGACTGATTGAGTACAGACTTGAGACTTAAGTTTTTGGTTCATCACAGCATTGAGAGGAAAAGACAGGTGCATGGACTGTCACAGTGATTTCAGAGGCCAAAGTTTGTTGGGGCAAGTAGTAGGGCAACACAAAGGATACAAAAAAGGTGGACTAGGGCCATCTTAGGGGCTCACAAGGAGCTGTGAATTCAGTCGCTGTACGGAAGTGACATCACTGCCAGGGGGCAGGTTGGACAGAAACCACCTGCTAAAAGTGTCTTTATGGTGTAGTGATTATGTGTACCTGTGCTGACCTTTAGTGGTTTCCTTAAATGTTCAAATGTTTCAAAAGCTACACAGCTTTGTGATTCTTGGATGGTTATGTGTTGTAAAGTGTTCTGTGTATCAGTGTAAGGAAGCTTGTGAGACAGGATTGTGAATTTCCAGGGCTCACCATCTAAACTGTCCTGTCTTGCTAAGGCAATTACACCACCAATATGATAGGGAAAGGACAGGAAATTATGGGGGCTGGGAGAGGAGGATTTGCATGGAGATTAAGAGAGTGGCATCCACTCAGGGTAACCTCTTTGAGATGTGACATCCTACACATTAGGAAGTACAAGCAGTATTGACAGTGTTGCACTGTTCCTTCTCCCCTGCCATTGTGTTTAATGCCCACTCTCGCTGCATTAAATAACAAAAATGGGGAGGAAACCCTCTAATGCTGTGAAAAAAAAAATTATTTTTTTAACAAGTGGAGGAAACAGTTGTGCTCTCCCTTTTTTTTAAATTACTTTTTTTATCGTTTAATTTACCTGCCTAAATTAACATGGTCTATATATGGTCTGTATTTCAACCATGCCAAGGGGTTTTGCCAGCCCTCTCAAACTCCCACAGTTGGGTGTTCTTGAGTTATTTACATGGCTGAGCAATGTCCAGGGAAGATACATAATGAGCTGTCAAGGACTTTTCACTTCTCTTCAAACTTTTTGATAATCTTGGGTGACCTGTTTCCCTTTTTTGTTCCTGGAAAATCCAGACCTGGAACACCGGGTTTGGTAGATGGACAGAGATGAGAAGGAAAAACCTTCACCTCTTGCCCAGTGCCTCACTTTATCTTTTTTTTTTTTTTTTTAAACCACCATAATCTGACTCTCAGTTACTCTGGAGAGAGAGAAAAGGTTTGTGTGTGTGCATTTGTCTGTGTATGCATAAAGAGTTAGGATTTTGGTGCATGGAGTAAAAGCCCCAGTAGCAGACAGATTTGAGCTGTAATCTGGATGGTTACCTGGCCAGTAGCAGAAAAACCCCAACCCTTTCTTGATTTTTGGAAACACTTAGGAGCAGTTTGTATTATAGTAGACATGTAGTACTGTAGAATGGTAATATTCATCTCTCCTCATTTTGGTTGCCTTTCAGATTCTAAATGTTTGGGATCATTCCTAGCATCTCAGCATATTAATCTAGCAGTTTCATGTTTCTCTTCCTTTATATTTCAACTGGTATTTCCTCTTTCTCATTTTGGGAGCTACCAAGAGCTCCAAGGGCAACCTGAGGATGACAGCCCAGGCTCTGAGTTCTCTCCTGCTCATGGGCCCCAGACAGATGCTGTTGGGTAGACCAGAAGCTTCTGAGACAGCAGCTCACAGAAATCTTCCTTCACCTGTTTCATCTGAGGATTTCAGTTCTGAAGTGATCTAGGCTTTTTTGGTAAAGATGTTTTTGTGGGAGTTGTTTCCTGGTTTTTTTCTTTTTCTTTTTTTTAGGAAAGCATCATGCAAAAAGTCATTTTTAAGGGCATTTTTAAATAAGGCCATTCTTTGGCTCTTTGGACAACTATTTGTGGATACTTTGTTTACATTGTGAGTATTAAAACGTGGATCATCTTTTGGCCACTCAGTCATCCAGGCACCCAGGCCCTGGTTATCCTGTGAGTCCTCTCGCAGAGTAATGCCGTAATGGTCAACCCTTGTGGATAAGTGGGTAAAACCTGGAGCTGACTTTCATCTGTGTCCTGCACTCCCATCCAATACTCTCTATGGAAACAGTCATTTCCTCAGTGATGGTGTGTCTTACAGTGATGGTTGTAATGGTGAATGGCTAGTGTCGTTAATTTTGTTTTGCTTTTTGATAATATACAAGATGAAATTTTAGCTGTTTCAGCACCAATCCAACTTAAAAGCATCTCGGACATTGTTTTTTCTTCTAAACTAAAAGATCAAGGCATGTATTAGACATAAACATATTTGCTGCCTCAACTAACCCAACACCCATATTAGGAAAAGGCCTGTCACTGAAGCAGGAAGCTGCATACTTCTAACCCTCCTCCCAGGGTTTGAGGTCCCTCGACACCATGGAGAGCTATTGCAAGGTGCTTCTGTACTTTTCCAGCCTGGAAGTGGAGGGTTGACTGGGCCTGGCTCCTGCTATGAGAAGAGAACCAGCCTCATTTTCTCAGTGACCCAGAGATCTGGGACAGAACTTCTAAACTGGAATCATCCTCATCAGCTTGAAGATCCCCCAAGAGGTATATGACTGATGCTGCCATCTGTGTCCTCACAGTGGTGCTGGTGACAGCATCCTGTGTATACATGCAGGTCTAATACCCAGGGCTTAACTCAAGCTGATGACCCAAACTGAAAACTGGGAAACTGGCCCTTGAAATGTTTCCCAGTCAGTAAGCCCACAGGGAATTATTTGTTTTTTATGTTTTGTTGGATTTTGGTTTGCTTGGCATAGCTAAAGGTGCCTTTTCTTTTTTTCTTTCTACTTTATTTTGTAGGACTTGTTCTAAACATGGAAAACAAGTCAGAAGACTCTCCCACTGACTGTTACCTTTGCCCCAGGCCACCCCAAACTTTTATGCTCACATTTTATTAAATAAAGCAGGTGCTCCCTGGAATCTCTGGGACCTTTCTGAGGCATTTGAAGCAGAATATTAGAGTGGTCTCATCTCCTTCCTTAATCTTGGTGGTTGGGATGTTCCACTTGTATCATAGATTTTTTTTATTACTGATGTGCTCCGCTGTTTTTAAATGTGAACTTGTGCGCAAACGTGCAGATTCAATGTTCTTGTTACAGATTGAATAAATTTTTTATTTTGAAGATGAAACACGTGTACTTCATCAAGTGCAACAGAGGAGGGAGGTACTAGAGAAGGTGGAGGGCTTGGAAGAGAACATTGATAACAAACATGGATCAGTTCTCATTGATTGCTCCCAATCAAACATACCCTGAAGAGATAGTTGAGCTCTAGAGAAAAATGTAACTTTCTACCTTCCACAAAATAAAAGACTGCATAGGAGATAGGATCACTAAAAATTAATTCAGTGTGGCTCCAATCAAGTGACCAAGCTGGGAACTTGCCTGGTCGAGGAGGCACTTGCCAAAGCCACCACCTGAATGTTAGAAGAATGAATAAGCAAAGGGACCAAAATTCCTCTACCATCTGTGGTACAGTGACTGGTCTGGAACAGCTGTTGTGACCTGTTTCAGCAGAGACTGGATTTGTTGGGTGGGTGGTCTCTCTGGACATTAGTGAGATAGAGCTAACAAGCTTTTCAGCACAAGGTACCTCAGCTCACTGAAAGGTTTCTAGCAAAAGGACATGAATTTCCAAAGAAGTAAAAGGTTTAACCCTCTCCCACCATTAGAAGAGAAATATTTGATGTCAGTGTTGCAGGAGGGAGATGGGGCCAAAGGGCAGTTCTCTAAAATGGACTGGCGGGGGGTTGGCCGGGAGAGTCTCCACTTCTCCAACCTTTCCACAGACCCATGATGAGATATTTAATGGTGCCCTTTACCACATACAAGGCAGCACTACTATCAAAGGAGAGTCAGTTTCCAGTTTCCTAATTGCTAAGAAAATTTGCTGAAGTTTCCAGAGAAAACACTGCCCCTTGAACTAAAGTCAGCCAGTTTCATTGTGAGTCATCCTTATCAAGTGGGAGGGGCACACCACTGATCTCTAGCTGCAGTGCATGATGGTGAAGGTATGGTCATTTAAAATTATTTAGCTCAGTTGGATAAGTGTGGTGCCGATAACACTAAGGTCCAGGGTTTGATCCCTGTACCAGCCAGTACAAATAAATAATTTCTAGGGGTGTCTGGGGTAAGATCAATCTTGGCTTTCTAGCCAAAGCAGATGGACCAATCATGGCTAAGTTCTCAGGCCACCTCTTATAGAAGATGATTTCATGAAAGATGAAATCCATGTCTGTCTTTTGTAGATTGCAGTTCAGAGCCCAGCAAGGGGAGGGAGGCATCAATCCCAAGTGGCTTCTCCTGATTTGTTCTTCATACTCTGGCTCTGCCCACCCACAGCTCTGCCAGGCCTTGGCAGCCAGAATAAGGCTGGCAGGCAAGGCTGAGCCATGCCAAGCCCAAGCAAATACTTCTGAATACCTGCTCCTGTATTCCAAGAGCACTCCCCTTCCCAGATGATGGAACTGAAAGGAGGATGGATTGAGTGATCCCTGTTCCCTAGTCCCAAACCCTTCCCTTTAGAAGACCATCTCCAGCTCTCTTTAAAGAGAAGGGAAGGGGAGGAGGAGGCTGGTAAAAGAAAGATGCCATTTCACAGTAGGAAGCAGCAAGTCAAATCCCTTCTTTGCCAACAAGTGGTGCAGAGTTGGTGCTCCTCTTCATTTTACAGTCCAGAAAGCTGCAAAAATAGGGTCATTATGCCAGGACTGGAACCTCAGTTTTCAAATTAGTCCAGGCATCCTTTCCTCTGTGCTATGCAACATAACTCTCAGTTATGCTTTATCTCAGCACTTGTGAGATAAAGTGGCACACTGTCCTTGAAGGAGAGGCAGAAATGCATGTGCTGAAAAGCATGGACCACTTAGATAAGAATCTGAGCTCTACCACCTACCAGTTGAGTGACGGATAAGCTACTTAACCTCTTTGTGCCCCAGTTTCCTCATCTGTAAAACAGGGATAATAACAACCCATTTCAGAAGGTTGTTACCAGAATGGAATTAATATGTGTAAAGTCCTTAGAACAACGCCTAGCACATAGTAAGTGTTGTTGTTATATATTATATAGCACATAATATAACTATTGTTGTTATAAAGGAGCAAAAGAGTCACTCAAGTCTTTTCCTCCTAACCATGTGCCTGGAGTCTGTAGGTAAAAGAGAGATTCCTCATTCACCCTTATGGCCTCCCAAGCCATGAATTATTTCTGGAGCACCTGTAGCAGTTTCTGATTCTGTTCCCCTCCAAGCCACTGGACACCTGGACTCTTCCTGAGAAACAAAGGAGCCTTGTGGGGACCTTCGTGATTTCTACCATCTTCCCTCCCCCTTCTCCCCAGTGCTGTTCTCTGCCCTCAGGAAAGATGTGTTCCACTGAGTCCCAGGTATGCCCTGGAAAGTGGGAAGTAATAACTGGCCCCATGCTGCCCTCCAAGGCCTTATGACCCAAGGGAAGAAATCCAGGCAGTATGCAGGCACTGGGTAGACAGCAGCTACAGGAATTGGTTGGTCTTCACAGGCTGTATTTTGATCAGGTTACTTTTTATTCTCATTGACCTTGGTCAATATTCAGATCCGTAGGTCTTGGGGGGAGGACGGGGAGGTTTCCCTGGAATAAAGTTGGGCACCAACTCAAGACCCAAAGGACATTAGGAATCAGGCTAGGCATCGGCCTCCGAGCTGGCTGCTCTGACCCCTAAAATGTGGTCCAAGACCTGCTCCGGCCTCTTCCCCCTGAACCTGGTGTTCCCCAGGGCTCAAGGTGGGTTCACTCTACTCCTCTCCCTGGGCTTTAAGGTGCTTCCTGCCCTGCTCCATGGAATCCTCTCTAACGGGGTAAAACGCCTAGCACAGTGTCAGCGTTTTAGGTTCTCAAATGATCGCTACCGCTATTAATAACAATAACTGTAACGATCACAGCCCCTTGTCGGCTACTCTCGCAGTTGCCCTGCGCCAGCCTAGACTCTCATCCAATGGCTGAGACTACGCCCCCGAAGCATCTTCTCGGGCCTCTTTCCAGGGGGGCCTGGATGTGCAGTCCCGCAACCCTGGCCCGCCAGGACTGGATAAATTGGGAGCGCGACTGCGGCAGGAAAGCGGCGCGAAGACACTTCATCCCCAGGGGCGCGCGCCCCCTCTCAGCGCCCCGCTCTGGGTCTGGGAACCTGGGCCTCCCCGGACCCCCGGAAGAGCGCGCGCACCCCTCACACACGCACACTTACTTCCCACGTTTTTCCGAGGCCGGCAGACACTCGGCGCCGAGTCGGGGGCGCTCGACTTTCCCGCCGCTGGAGAGGGCGGGGCAGCTTTGGGCCTGGCCCCGCCCTTGTCCTCGGCCCCGCCCCCTCGTGTTGATGGCAGCGGCAGCTGGGACCGCAGCGGCGTCCGGCCCTGGAGAGCAGCAGGCAGCGGCCGGAGAGCGCCGCCGAACACCCGGGCCCCAGACGCCGCCGACACCCGGAGAGGCAGTTCCGGCGTCCTGACGCCTTCCTCGTTCCTCAGCGCACCCCCGGCCCTGTCCTCAGAGGAGTCGCACCGTGAGCGCCCTCCCGGCCAGTTCAGCACCAGGTAAACCCTACACTCCCCCACCCTCCCCCGGTTCCCGCTGCCACCGCAGCCAGCGGAGCGGACTGGGTCTCTGGAGCGGGCAGAGGTTCGCACCCCCTCCCCCTCCCCGCCAAATTCTGTCCCGGGCGGGGCGGACTTGGTGTCTATATTGGGCCGGAGAGCAGCCCGCGCGCCCGCCGGGTGCGGACACCTCGTCTTGAAAGAACGCAGTGCCGGGGCAGGAGGCCGGGGGAGGGTGCGGGGAGGCAGGGCCTTAGGCCTGGGGTCGAAGAAGCGGCTTGAAGGGCACAGGGATGCCCGAGGCTGGGGAGGGCAAGGAGTCAGTGGCTGGGGCTTTGGGAGAGCTGGGTGTGTCTCCTGGGGAAAACAGGACAGGTCCTGACTGGAGAAAAGGCACCTCACCCTCTGCACCTCCGCAAATCTGGCCCTGAACTTGGGGTCAGGACTTCATCCCCAGGAGAGTTTACCAGGAGTGAGGCCCATCTTGGGTAGAGGACCCAGAGGAGAAACTGGACCAAAGTATGGTAGGCAAAAGCCAGAAGACCTTGGTTAGGGCCTCTTTGAGAAGCCAGTGCGGGAAGGAGTAGGAGGAGGAGAGATCCACCTTACACTGTGTCCCTCACCCCCACCAGCAGGGAGTAAACTGATGAAGACAGTAGCAGGAAGGAATCGGGTTAGCTGACAGGAAGAACTTCTCCCTTGGCAAATTTTTAGAAAAAGGCAAAACCCCATCTGCCTGAACTATGCCAAAGATGCGATCTCTGGATCTTGGGGGGCTGCAGTCCTAGCCCCATAACTGGCTTCAAGCCAAGTCCAATGGCCAAGGCCTCTATTCTGGACAGGGTGCCTCTGGGAGATACAACCATTTCCATGAAGAGATACTTATCCAAGGCTGGCAGCAGGAGGGCAGCCTAGTGTTGAGGCTCCTCCCCAAAACATTCCAACTTCCAGGAAGCTTTCAACCCTGGTAGTCTCCACTGTCCCACCAACCTGGGTATCTAAAGAGAAGTCAGGCCCCAAATCCTAGCCCCTCACATTAAACAGCATTTTGCAGGTGACAAAGAACTTTCCCATATGTCAATCACCTTGAAGAAGGCTCCCTACTTCTAGGATCAGACTCTGTGGGGATTTATACCTGACTCCTGGCTAGATAACCCTTCTCACCTGCCACCCCCTCCACTCCTCCTTCCTCCCACAGCTCACAGGACTAAGGACCAAAGGCATTTCTGGGCACTGAGATCCTCAATCTCTGCCCCCAGGCATGAGCCGGCGTGTTGTTCGACAGAGCAAGTTCCGCCATGTGTTTGGGCAGGCGGCAAAGGCTGACCAGGCCTATGAGGACATCCGTGTGTCCAGGGTCACATGGGACAGCTCCTTCTGTGCCGTCAACCCAAAATTCCTGGCCATTATCATGGAGGCTGGAGGCGGTGGTGCCTTCATTGTCCTGCCTCTGGCCAAGGTGAGGGATGAGGGGAAAGAAGCAAGTGGGAGGACACTGGCTGGGACCCCTGGGGACTCCTGACAGCAGGTTGTGTTCTCACCTAGTTCCACTGCTCAGTCAGAAGGGCAGTTTGTATGAACTGGAAGCTCCATGTTCCCCATCCCTCAGGGACCAGTGGGAAGGCTCCCTCACTCCACCCTTAGCAGCAGCATCACGGTGGTCTGCACACACTCCCTAACCTGTCCACCTCTCCATGCAACACCTTATTCCCAGTAGGGACAAAGAAGTGAATCAGGTGTTGGAGATGGTTGGGACACAGCAGAGCCAAAACTTTGGCCAGATTCTGTCCCTGTCTCTCCTAATGCTTCACACCCTCATGTTTTGAGTATGGAGATCCTCCTCCCCAGCCCAGGATGACCTCTTTGATTAAATCACATCCCAGAGCAGCACATTGAGAACAGGATCAGGCTCTATCCAAAGAGTTCCTGGCTACCTCCCCACTCTGGTTCTTGCAGTGAAGTAAAATGACAGTGAAGGGCAGGGGGACATGACACATAAAGCCAGAGCCCTCCTATCCTAGGGATGGGGGCCAAGAAATGACTACAACTTTTGCTGTGTAACCTTAAGCTCCTTGGCCCTCTCCACCCTCAGGATGGTTATCCCAAGGCATGACCTTGACCTGGATTCTGACTCCCTACACCTTTTTAGGGGAGGCCCCATAGGAGGCAGGGTCGGGAAGAGGCCTGACAATAGCTGGTGACTCACCCCAGACAATGCAGACACCATGCAGGGACACCATCCCCAGGGCTCAAATTTCAGCTGGAGCTGCCTCCTCCTCCAGTATGACTGCCATTTCAGTGCCACATGGCCACCCCTCTCCCCTACCTCCTGGTCTGAGCCTATGCCAGCCCCTGCAGAGGCCTCAGAGCCTCCACAAGCAGCCCATGAAGACCAAAAATAGGTGGACCCCCCGCTCAGGTTTGGGGATAGTAGGTGCCAGAATTGCCTGCTGCTGTGGTTACAAGGTGAAGCCAGTGATAAAGGAGAGATCTGCCAAAGGTACCTAGGAAAGGACTGTTGGGTACTGCACTGAGAATTACCTCACCTTGACCTCTCCCACCAGGGCCTTCCCATAGACATCCCAATTGGGGAACAGGCTCAAGAACAGCCCTTTCCAAGTAGGTGTCTTTAAAAGAGCACTGGACTGAGTTCAAGTCTTTGCTCTATCAGTGTCTTGCTGTGTGTCTTTGGTTAAGTCATCTTACCTTTGTGTGTCAGATTCCCTAATATTTAAATGATTTCAATTCCGCGTTAAGCAAAATACAGGAAATAAACTGGATGGGATTAGACGTACAGAAAAGGGTCTGCAAAGAGAACATAGATGATAGAGAATTGAGATGTAAACAGATCCCCTGCCCACCCCAAAAACCACATGGGAGAGTGGTCCCACATCTTTCTTTCTGACCCCTTCAGACAGGACGAGTGGATAAGAACTACCCGCTGGTAACTGGGCACACTGCCCCAGTACTGGACATTGACTGGTGCCCACACAATGACAACGTCATTGCCAGTGCCTCAGACGACACCACTATCATGGTAGGAGCCAAGTGGATGCTGCTGGACAGCTGGGCAGGGGAGCAGGGTGGGCTGCCTCACCTGTACTGGGGAAGGTGGTAAGGGAGATGCTGGGTCCCAGGGCCCTGCCCTACCCAGCTCACAGTCTATTTTTAGCTACATGCCCACCCCCTCCCAGGATGCACTGCTTAGAACTAATTATAGCCATGGCCAACTTGGGGCCTGAAGAGCAGGGGGGCAGTGCTCTGAAGTCTCCCTGCTGGAGTGAATGGGGAAGTCTCTAGAGAGCTGGCAGTGCCCCCAATGGCTCCCAGCTGTTTCTGCCCTAGCCAGGTACCACCACATCTTGCCCTGTATTTGACCCTTACCACTCAAGAGAGCTAGTAAGGTTGAGGGGACGTAGGCGAGGAGTGGAGGGACAGGGCCAGGTCCTCATCCCCCCCACCCTACGCCTTTTCCTCCTACCCAGGTGTGGCAGATTCCAGACTATACCCCCATGCGCAACATTACGGAGCCTATCATCACACTCGAGGGCCACTCCAAGCGTGTGGGCATCCTCTCCTGGCACCCTACTGCCAGGAACGTCCTGCTCAGTGCAGGTCTGGGGTCCTAGGGAGAGGTCTCTACTGTAGATGGGGGGTGAGGGGGTGGCACAGACAGGGCCCAGGTGACCATGCCTGGCCACTCTGGGCAGGTGGTGACAATGTGATCATCATCTGGAATGTGGGCACCGGTGAGGTGCTGCTGAGCCTGGACGATATGCACCCCGACGTCATCCACAGTGTGTGCTGGAACAGCAATGGTAGCCTGCTAGCCACCACGTGCAAGGATAAGACCTTGCGCATCATCGACCCCCGAAAGAGCCAAGTGGTGGCGGTGAGTGCCTAGCCTGGCCACTGCCCAGAAGCCCCTGCCCTGTGACCAGCTGCCAGTTCCCTGTACCCACAATCATCAGAGCCCTTCGTCCCAGCTTTCACCTGCCCCGTCCCTATTCCAGAGACAATCCCTCCTCCCCAGTCCCTGCAACCACAGCTCCCTGCCCTAAGTAAGCCCCCAGCCTGCAATTCTCTGCCCCCACTCCTGTTCCCTCCCCTCCCCTGCCTCTCAGAAGCTCAGAGGAGGGCTCCTCGCTTTGGGATTGAGGAGGGAAGCTGGAAACTCCATCCTCCCACCAGAACCTGCATGAAACCTGAGCTCCCGGACCCCTCTCCCCTCAGCCGGCACCCAGCGCCATCTTCTAGGATCTGGGGCCTGACACTGACTCAAGGGCTGGCCCCTACCCGCCCTTTTTGATAACGCTGGGCGGGGAATGGGGGCAACCCTCGCGCGTTGCTTGCCCCAGGGCGGCGGCCATCGTCTCACCAGCCTCTATCGTGTGCGGGGTGCGCGGGGCGCGTGCATGTGTGCGTGGAGCACGCGCGCCGAGCGCGGCTGGGGCCGGGGGTGGGGGCGGGCGCGCTAACCCACTAACCCCGCGAGCAGGAACGAGTCCGGCCTCATGAGGGCGCCCGCCCGCTGCGGGCCGTCTTCACCGCAGACGAGAAGCTGCTCAGCACCGGCTTCAGCAGGATGAGTGAGCGGCAGCTCGCGCTCTGGGACCCGGTAGGCCAGGCCGCTCCGGGGGCGCTCGCTTGCTCGCTCCTTCACTGGCTCAGCCAGGAGCGCACTCCCGGGCCGTGGCCTGAGCGGAAAAAGCCTCGCTGCGACCCCGGGGAGCCAGCAGACACCCCCTGCTCTAGGGATCAGCCTTTGAGGGCGCTTAATGGTTCGGGATCTGCTGAGAGCCGCGCAATTCCTGCTGTCTCCAGGACAGGGGCCAGTCGTGGCCCCCAGGAAGCTGAATTCTTAGGCCCCTTTTGTCTCTCCCCCGCCTCCTCACCCCCCACCCCCAAGTAGGCAAGCTGGTCGCTTGGCCCTCCAGCTGGTGATGCCCCTCCCTGTCTCCCCCCAACCCCCAGGAGAGATTTGCGGCCCACGAGGGGATGAGGCCCATGCGGGCCGTCTTCACACGCCAGGGTCATATCTTCACCACCGGCTTCACCCGCATGAGCCAGCGAGAGCTGGGCCTGTGGGACCCGGTAACGCAGCTGGAGGCTTGGGGTGTGTGCCCCGGGGACTGGCATCACGGGAGAGGGGCCAGGCGCCCCCTACCCGCATGGCATGCCCACCCAGACAGGGCTGGAGGCTGCTGCCACCTCTGCAGCGCCTGCCATCTCCACAGCAACCCCTCTGCCCAGTTTTGCTGCGTCGCCTGAAGGAGCCTGCGCTGGTGCCCCTACCTGGTGATGCCGAGTCCCTGGGGGTGGTTTGCTGTGACTGCATGCGGAGGCGCAGGGGGGGGGGGGAAATGTGCGGGGAGGGAGGAGTGGTGTGTCTAGGGGAGGGTCTTGCAGCTCTGGTCACCAGAGGTTTGGGGCGGGCAGGAAACGTAAAGGAGCTTCTGGGGATCCCGAAGAAGCACAGGAGGGCGCGACAGGGCTGGTCACGCCTCTTGTGCTCGGACAGAACAACTTCGAGGAGCCAGTCGCACTGCAGGAGATGGACACAAGCAACGGCGTCCTACTGCCCTTCTATGATCCCGACTCCGGCATCGTCTACCTGTGTGGCAAGGTGCTCGCGACCGGGCGGGGAGACTAGAGGGCTGGATGTGGAGCGCCCTGCCCGGGCGCGCCTCTAAACCGACTGGTTTTGCAGGGCGACAGCAGCATTCGGTACTTCGAGATTACCGACGAACCACCCTTTGTGCACTACCTGAACACGTTCAGTAGCAAAGAGCCGCAGCGAGGCATGGGTTTCATGCCCAAGCGGGGGCTGGATGTCAGCAAGTGCGAGATCGCCCGGTCAGCAGCCTGGGCCCCTCCCATACGCCTGTCTCTGTCCCCAACTCATGTCGGGGACTCATCTCTGTCCCCAACTCAGCCAATAGTGCAATGCTTAGGAAAAGGAGGGCGGGGGGATCTGTTTCAGGGCCAGCCTCAGCGCTCACTAACCTGACATTCTCTGAACTTCAGTTTCCTCATTTGTAAAATGATAAACATCTCATCAGAGGTGTTTTACCACAGAACAAAAGATGTGTTTAAAGTGCAATGCGCACGGCAGGCGCTCAGCAAGTGTTGGTTTCCAACCCCTTGGTCCCAGACAGAAGTTAAGGGGGTGGGAGTCTGCGGGGGTGCTGAACCCCACTCCTTTACAGGTTCTACAAGTTGCACGAAAGAAAGTGTGAACCCATCATCATGACTGTGCCCCGCAAGGTGAGGGATTGGGAGAGGGGCTGGTCAGGGCTCCGAGGAGGAAGGGAGCGCAGCAGGCCTGGCGCCCCGCTCACACGTGTCGGCCTTTGCACTCACTCCCGCAGTCAGACCTGTTCCAGGATGATCTGTACCCGGACACGCCGGGTCCGGAGCCGGCCCTAGAAGCCGACGAATGGCTATCTGGCCAGGACGCTGAACCTGTGCTCATTTCTCTGAGGGACGGTTACGTTCCGCCCAAGCACCGCGAGCTCCGCGTTACTAAGCGCAACATCCTGGACGTGCGCCCACCCTCCGGGTCCCGCCACAGCCAGTCGGCCAGCGACGCCAGCTTGTCGGTAAGATCCGGCCCTGCCCCCCCAGTCCACATATCCCCGTGCCACTCCCTGTCCAACGCGGCCCCTTCTGTCCTCCGCGTCCCAGCAGCAGCACACCCTGGAGACGCTGCTGGAGGAGATCAAGGCCCTTCGTGAGCAGGTGCAGGCCCAGGACCGGCGCATCACGGCCCTGGAGAACATGCTGTGCGAACTGGTGGACGGAACCGACTAGCGGGGCGCGCGGGGAGAAGCTCCACGCAGGGCGGGCGGGCGGGGCGGGGCGCACGGACTCGGCCCCGCCGGGTTTTATGTCCCAGACTCTGGACCCAGCCTCCCTGGGCTGTGGGCAGGGGCGGGACTGGGAAGGGAACTCCGCCCCTGGAGGGAGACCTGGACAAATGGAGCGTGGGGGGGACCCGTGTCTGGCTGGCTGGGGGTGAGCTGCACGCCGCGTCGGGAACTCGGCAGGAGCTGGCCTAAGGAGGCCCGGGTAACAGGGGCCTCAGCAATGGTGCTGCACGGCGAGGCGGTGTCTTCCTCTGTCCTCCACCCAGGGCAGGGCAAGTGCTTAGTATTAGCGGATGCTAGGGGATATTGGGGAGCTTGGGCTTGACCTCAAAGGGGTGGCGATTCGACGGGTCTCCCCAGACTGGGGAAATTATGGCGCTTTTCCTAATCAGCTCACTTGATAGCACCACCCTGGGTGGTAGACCAGAGAGGCCTCACCCCCTTGCTGCAGACTCTTAACACAACACTTTGGCTGCAGAGCCGGACCCACTGGCTACCCCCAGTAGTCTGTGGCGGAAGGCTCTTCTCCTTTTGCACCCACGGGGAGAGGGCGGCTTCCTCGAGGGAGCCCCGGGGAGACAGCTGGCATGAGGAAGCAGGTTCACACACACACACACACCCCCAGAGACTGCCCCCAGTCCTCTGCTATGGCTTGATTCTATGAGGAAAACAAGACATACTGAATGAAATATTTTATTAAGTGCTCAGTCTGTGCCTCCTGCATAGGTGGGGGAGTAGGGGGAGCAAGTACCCCCAGCCTCTGCAATTGCTACCCCCAAGCTCCTGGGGAATCTGGCAAACACAACTCTGGACTTGGGGTCCATCAGGTAGCCTCTTATCCTAGAGCCCTCCCCACACTGAGGTTCACAAAGACACCCCCCCCCCACAGCCCGCACCGTGGGTGTTCCTCCCCAGTAAAGCCAGGTAGGAAAAACCTCCGGTTTGAAGCCTCTTTATTTGTGCCTCAGAGTCAGTCTGGTGCCCCTGGCATCATGGAAGGGGTGGGAGGAGCAGTTTCTCCTGTTGTTTTCTTCCTTCCCTGTTTTGTGTCCCTTCTGAGCCTCACTGGCTGATCCGGGAAGGCCAGTCCGAGAGGCCCGAGACAAGGGTGTGCGGTGGGCCCCTGCCCCTGGCGGGGTCTGTGCTTCTCTGGGTGGGTGAGTTGGGGCAGGGGAGAGCCAGGGGGTTAGCACCATTGGATGAAGGGTTTTAGAGTCAGCCCCTCGGTGGGGGCAAGTGGGATGCACACCATAGAGGGCTAGCAGCAGCTGGTGGGAAGGGGTGGGTGGTGGTGCTAGGGCCCTGGGCGACCCCTTTGTAGCCACTCTAGTGTAGGATCTAGTACTTGCCCCCAGACCAATACGCCCCCCACTCTCCAAGGCACCATGGGGGAGTCAGGACTTGCCCAGGCCACGGGGCCAACTTGGACACACTCCCTGATCACAAAAACGTGCCTTGGAGAAGGAGACTCCAACTTCTGACTGCCCGAGGAAAAACTGGGACCACCCTGAGACTCAGGACGGGTGTGGGAACTGGGGGAGCCGGGCACCCCGCTAAGTGCACTTGACGCTGAAATGCCGGGGTGGGGGAGGGGCTGGGCCCTTGACGTGCTGGTTTGTGTCTGGGACAAAGCAGCGACACAGCACGCGGGAAGCTCAGCTGCCCCCCAGGGGTGAAGAGCGGAGATGCAAGGCTTAAGGGGCAGTGTCCTGGAAAGGGGTCAGTGAACAGAGAGGAGGACAGGCCAGAAGGAGCAAGGGATGGAGACAATGCTCCTCTAAGGATTCGACTCCCCTTCAAGACCTCGCTCCGCCCTTGGATAGATCCAGCCCAGGCGAGCGGGTTGGGGGTCAGGATACAGCAAAGCAGGGGGACCGGGCCGTGCCAGCTGCCTCCAGGGCCCTGACCTGGAAAGGTACCCCGTGCCGGTGCCGAAACCCTCCCCGGTTCCATGCCTGGTGCGCTGCTTCACCCGCAAGGCGGTGACTCCAGTCACCAGCTGCAGCTGGGCAGGCGCGCGGGCTGGGGCGGGCCTCAATGGGGGCCCGGGGATGGTCGCACGTGGTGTGGGCAAGGTGCCCGGCAGGGGGCGCTACTGCTCAGTCAAGGAGAGCCTCAGGATGCGCTCCAGCTCCTCCTCCTCCTGGCGCGCGCGCCGCCGCCTCTCCTCCTGTTCCTGCGCCGAGAGCTGCATGGCCAGCCGCAGTTGCTCGTCGTAGCTCCGGAACACGTGGCCGCCGGAACTCTGGCCCGGGTTGGGCAGAGGGCTGGGTCCCGACGCCGGGGGCGCAGGCCGGCGCTGCGGCGTGGGCGGGGCGCTCCTGCGGGCGGGAGGATATGTCGAGGGTCCCCAAGCGCACCTGCCCATAAGCGGGGCAGGAGACAGGGTGGAGGCCCCGGGGCAGGGAAGGCCCACCACCCTCTAGCCTCACCGCGCTGGCCCCCACCCAGTTGTGGGGGATCCCCAAAGTTCTCTTCCCCATCCACGGTGGCCCCGAGCATGTGGGCATCTTCCAGGACCCCAGCCCCGACTGTCTGGTGAGAGCCTGAACTCCGGAAAGCCTGGATCCCTGCTCCCTGCCCGCTGCCGGAGCGCTGCCCACCCACCCCAGAGCCAGGAAAGGGTGGTGGTAGAATCCATCCTGATGCCGGTAGGGTCCCTACTGAGGGCACCACGGTTTCTCTGGGCCAGGAGGGGCTGCTCAGTTCGCAGTGTCCTCGGCCAGTGTGACTGGGTGCTGGGGTACTGTGTGCGTGTGCTGCGGGGAGAGGACAGGCATCTCCAAATCCTCTTCAGCCTAGTGGGCACTGACCTGTCCTGTCGACGACCCTCGTAGGACATGGGGTGGGTGCCTGGCTTGCTGTTGGTTAGCGCCTCCCAGATGGTGACCTGGAGGAAGAGGGCGTGGGCCAGTGAGCTGTGGTGGCACTGCAGTCCTGTGGCCCAGGGCGGCCGCAGGGACGCACCTGGTCATACTCACTGCCCGCCTCAAGCAGGCTCTGCTGGATGGCGAACTGCAACAAGTCATCATCGTCGTCACGGGTCGCCGCCTCTCGCTGGCCACCTAGCACGCTGTAGCCGCGTGGGGCCTCGAACAACGCAGGGGAGATCTCGCAGCCACGGCACGAGGCTGGGGGCACGGGGCTGGGTGTCAGGCGGGGACGGGGCATGTGATCTGCTGGGGAAGGCGGGCTCCGAGGGGCCGGGAGGGAAGACGGGGGCGGGGGGTTGCTGGGGGCGGAGTGGGGAGCCTCACTCGTGGAACTGGAGCTGCTGACGCTGGAGGAATCGCTGCCTGGAGAAGGGGTCTCGCTGCTCGGGCTGCCTCGCACTGACGGCACCGGCTCGTCACAGCCATTGAGGTTCCCGAAGGTGATGCGGGCGTTGAGGACGTGGAAGATGGGGATTTCTAAGGATGTAGAAACCATCGGGCGCTGGCACCCACCATCTCACACCAACCCTGGCCCCTTGCCACATCTGAAGCCCATCTGCCCACCAGGGAAAGGGAAGTGGGGGTCTCACCAATCTTGACAGGGAAGCCAGGAGGCAAGCGCAGGGTGATGAAGTCCCGGAGCTTGGCAAAAAGCGCATTGCTGACGGCCATGAGGTCAATGATGGGAGCCACCTGCTCACACAGGGACAGGGGATGCTCCTCACACAGCCACAGCTTGGCTTTGAACCTGCCCCCCCAGATCCCAAGGGGTGAGGGAAATTGCAAGAAGCCATGGCCTCCCAGCATCTCCTGGAGCCCCAGCTCTGCCCACCCCTCCCCAGCATCAGCAGGGGGCCTCACTTCTGTGTCTTGGTGGTCATTTCCATGGGGCGGCCCATGTCACGGTTGCCAAGCTCAAAGTTGGGGTTGAAGTATTCTTCTGCAGTGATGGCAGTAGGGTTGGCTTGGCTCAGAGTCTGAGTGATCAGGGTCTGTACCACACGGGGAAGGACCCATGAGCCCTTCTCAGTCCCTGATGCCAAGCCAGCCATTTAGTACCCCAGGGCCCCCAAACTGTCCCCCCTGACAGTGTGGAACTAACATGGCCTTCGGCATTGTGGAAAGTAGGTCCACATAAGCCATGCTAAGCAGGATGCCTCCCAAGCCTCCTCGTGAGCCACTACCATACCCCTCCACTTAGGGGCACTCCTGGCACACACTCACCCCATTTTGGGGGCCCCCGTGCTGCTCAGCAATTCCCAGGAAGGACTGCAGAGGTGTCTTACAGCCTACAAGAAATGTGGCATCTCAGAAGACATGGCAGCCCCCCACACACTTGGGCACCTCTTTGGAAGTGACAGTATCCAAGACTTAGGGAGAAGGCTGAGTCCTGGGTTGGTGGGACTCCTCACCCATACCACATACCTAGGCACCTTCATCTGAAGGTGACTGAGGACTCAAAGGAGCAGAAGCCAGTACCACTACAAGCACAGCTTAAAATTATTGTAAGAATAAAAGGAAACCAGAGTGTGGTGCTGATAACACCAAGGTCCAGTGTTCAATCCCTGTACCGGCTGGCGCCAAAAAAAAAAAGTAGACCGAGGGCTCAGGAGAAACTTCCCAAAGTGCTGCTTTCCAGGTTGGTAACACTGGACGGTAACATATCTACCTTTGGTAAGCAGTTTGGAGGCATGCGCATGTATGTGTGTGTTTTCCTTCAGGCATTTCCATACTAATGACTTCACTTTGTTCCCCGTGAGGTGGAAATTCTGTCTTTCCACTTCATACAGGGTCACTGATGCCCAGAGAATCGGGTGTGGTATCAGTGGGCACACAGAGTCAGTGGCAGGGTCTCCTGACTTTCTACCTTGGGTATGTCTCACTAAACTAAGATGGCCAATAAATGGCATCCACGACATTTCTCTCCCCTCCCAAATACAAGGCAGACATTAGCAATTGTAGCATGCCTTTCCACTGAGCCCAAATGAGCCTTAGAATCTTCTTAGCAGTACTCTAGGCAGCCAGTACCAATCATTAGGGCTTGGCACTTGAATTGAAATCTATTTTCCTGAATAAACCACCATGACTCTTACTAGGATGCCATTAGAGATGCTTAAGTGGCAGCTGGTTCCTCCAATCTTGCAACACCTCCCACCATGGCCTCTGCCTTAGTCATTACCTTTGACCTTGCCCTTGTGCTGTTCTGAAAGATGCTCTGTCCGGGTCCGGGTGATGAGCTCCACATTGGATGCCCCATATACCTGGGGACAGATGAGAAAAGGGCTCAGAGACAGCTCTGGTACCTCCACACCCTGCCCCCAAGAGCATTCTGAACACTCCCTGAAAGAAAGAAAGGGTCCTAGAGGGGCTCTTTGCTCCATTCTCCAGGCCTTTGGGCAAGTAAATATATGAAGTCACTTATTCATTCACTTATTCATTCAACAAACATTTTTTGAGGAGCCTTTATGTGCCAGGACATCAGGGATATAGGTGAACAAGCCAGTCATGATCCCTGCCCTCCTGAGGCTCACAGTCTAGTTGGAGAGACAAGAACATGGACAGTTATAACTCAGTGTGATACATGCTCTGGTGGGGTAACACAGAGATCTTAGCTCAGCCTACACAGCCAGAGAGGGCTTCCAGGAGGAGACAACACATACAGAACCTTGCAGCATTTGTTACTTCCTTCTTTCATCAGCGGTATCATGTGCATGGCAACGTGGGGGTCACGGAGTGACAGACACAGTCTTCTTAGGGGTAAAGGCCTGGCTTGAGAGTCAGGCGGCCAGGGTCTGAACCCCAGCCCTGTCACTTACAGCTGTGGAACCTTGTACAGGTCACTGACCCAGTCCAAGCCTCCATTTCCTCACCATAAAATGAGCTGATCATCCCTACTTAGTGGAGTCATTGTGAAGATTAAATGTGACACTATGGAAAGGGCTCAGTAAACATCTGTAAAATGGAAATAACAATAGCACCTAGCTGAAAGGGTTGTTGTGAGGACTGAGTGAGTGTGTGTGTGTGCATGTGTGTGTGCATCTATACATACATATCAAATATTAGAACAGTGCCTTGAATGTGAATATAAGTGCCCAAGAAATGCCATTCTCATCAGTGACTGTTAGTCTCATGCCCTTCCCTCCATGCCACACGGCCTCTGCACCTCCAAAGCTGGCGAAGGGTGGCCAGGAACCCCATGCCCAGTGTTCCGTAGGCAAGACTGTGGCCGGGCTGGCACCATGAGCTTCAGCCTCACCTTGGCTTCATACCCATTCACCATCTCGGTCTTCTCACTGCGCCAGCCCAGGATACCAGTCTTGTTCCTGGGGAGGCAGAGCAGTGCAGGTGAGGCAGGCACCCTACCAGGCTGGCTCCAGGCTGACCAAGGCTGTGCCCACCCACCTCTCAAAGGAGATGTTCTTGGTGTCAAGCTGTGTGGTGACGACGGGTGCAGTGAGCCGGCTCAGCACTTGCTCCTCGGTGGGCTGGGCGGCAGCCAGCAGCAGCTCACGGTCCTGCCCGGCCAGCGCAAGCGTCTCTGTGTACACCACCCGGCGGTCATGGTCAATCTCCATGACCACGGCACTCGTGTCTGCCAGCCACAGAACAGACGGGGGTCAGAGGGGGGTGTGGAGCTGTCTCCCACCCTGCCCACCCTGCTCTACCTCCTGCCTGCCTGACCTTGGCCCCTGAAGACGAAGCTGCGGTTCCCCCGCTGCCATGTCATGTGGTCAAAGCCCAGGAGCGTGGTGTCTACTCTCAGGTTCTGCCCACTCTTCCACACTTTGTAGGTGTCACTAGGGCAGATCTTGGATACCAGGGGCACTGGGTAGAAGTGGAGGTCAGAGGTCACTTGGCGTTGCCTGGGCCAGCTCAGGGCGTGAGGTCAGGGTCAATAGTGTGGCCAGGAAGGGGTGAGGGAATTGGTGGGAGAGCATCACCTCCTCCCACCACCTCCCCACCCAGACAAAATATAGGCAATGCTCACTCAGATGTGAGCAACCAGAAGTCAGGGACAAGTAGGTCTTAGTCACCAAGTCCCTAGTTTCCACCATTTGTTAATCCATTCACTCGATCTTTCATTCATATTTTCAACAAATATTTATTGAACTATGGGGTGCCAGACACTGAGAAAACAACATTGAACAAGACAGGACTCCTGCCCTCTGGCAGCTTACCTTCTAGCAAGGGGTAACAGGTAATAAATAAGTAAGCAAATCATTACAGAGTGAAGGAAACAGTAATGGAATCGAGATGGTATGTGGGGCGGTCTGGAAAGGCCTAGCTGAGGAGGTGGCAGTGGGCTGAGAGGCCCCCGACCAGCCCCTCTTACCCCAGCTGGTGAACTCCCATTTCATCTCCACGTAGAAGTCCTGGGCCTGGAGGATGAGAAGCAGAGTGCCTAAGCCTGCACCAGCAGTGGGGCTCCCTCCAGTGGGGAGGCTGGGAGGCTGGGCCTCACCTTGCGCAGCTTCTCCAGGAGCACGGGGATGCCCGCCAGCCGCTTCACCACCCGCTGGTAATCCCGATACCGCAGCACCAGCTGCACCAGCTCCAGGTCCCGGGTACTCACAGCCTCCTGAAGCACTGGGGAAGGGAGGACAATATCACAGGGCAGGACCCTTCAGCCAACCAGATGTGAGTATATGATGCTGGGGAAACCCTGGCTGTGGGGCCAGGGTGAGTAGGGGGCCCACCTGTCCAGCCACTGCGATTTTCCCTGCCCACGTCTGCGCCGTGTGCCAGGAGCACACGGGCACACTCGAGGTGACCCAGTGTGGTGGCCAGGTGCAGGGGAGTCCGACCACGAGGATCCAGCTGCTCAATGTCCACCTGGAGAAGGAGGTGAAGACGTAGCCCTGGTCACTTCTGAGGCAGCCCACCTGAAGTGAGCCCCTGGTCACTTCTGCCCAACAGCCCCTGTGCAGGTAGCACCCCCCTGGCTGCCCTGCCTTGCCCACCCCACAAGGCAACATAAAAGACAGACATGATGAGCTGGGGTCAGAGGAGTGGAAAGACAGGGCAGGACATAAGTTTGGCAGAGGTAGTGCCTTCCTCCCTTCCTGTCCACCTAGGTCCTCTGGCTGGATTTCCTCCTCCAATGGCCAGTGGGCTGCCTGTAAAGAATAAGCCTGGGGCTGAAAAGTGGTCCTGAAAGGCTGTTGGCCAAGGAGGGCACCTGAGGACAGACCTATCTGAGGGGTCCCAGACCACACCTTCGGGAAGGATCACCAATGGGCTGGCCAGGTGGCTCAGCTGGTTAGGACCTGGCCTTGTAACACCAAGGTCACGGGTTCGGATCCCCATACCAGCCAGCGACCATATAAATAAATAAAGTTCAAAGGCTCCCTTGTGGTGCAGGAGCTTTGAAAAAAAAGAAAAAGTTAGGGTCACCAATTTAAATCATTGACATTATCACTGATCATGTATACAGTTACAGTAATACACTGATAGGAATGAAAGAATATGTTCATGGTACAACTTCCAAGCCATGTCCTGTGCCTGTGGGATACTATGCATTAATGTTTTGTATATATCCTATTATTATTTGGTGAACAGCATGATTACATTGCATGAGGTTTTTGTTGTGTGATAAAAGTATATATTTCAGGAGTCCAGGACTTCTAGTCAAATACAGTGAACTGAGAACATGCATGTAATTTCTCCTCTTCTTCCCAAAACTTGATTAAAATGCCAGTGAAAAAGGCTTCCACCCCAACCATGATGAAACACCTGAAATTACTCTTCCACCATAAACAATAAGAAAACTATTGAAATAATAATTATTTTCAGACATTAGGCAACAGGTAGTCTGGGACTGTGATCCCTGAGGAAAAGGAAACAGACAAGGTGAGCCCTATGACTTCCCTGGATTTCTGCTTGGAGGAACATTCTAGGCTGCTATTCAGGGAAGGGAATCCCCAGCAGAGCATGGTGGTCTCCCTGAGTTGAGGAAATAGAGTCAGTAGTCCAGGGAGACTGAAGCAGCTGGAAGTTGCAGGACAGAGTTCTGGAAAGGAGTGAGCTAAAAAAAAGTGACCTACAGAAATCTGCATCGCTTTTGAATCTTTGCTGAACCTTCATATGTGTATAGTGAAACGAGACCAGACAAAAAGAAGCAATTAACTGATAAATTCTCAGAGCTCACTGAGGGCAGGGAGACATTCAAGCTCCAACCTGATAGAATGGAGAGACTTTGTTGATCATCCAGTATATTCAATATAGACCCCAGAAGAGTTATGCCTTAGGAGTAGGGCTAGGGCCGGCCCAGTGGCGCACTGGAGAGTGCACCACTTGGGAACGCGGCGGCACTCCCGCCAAGGGTTCGGCTCCCATGTGGAGACCGGTTCCCGCTCACTGGTTGAGCGCGGTGCGGGCGCAACACCGAGGGTTGCGATCCCGTTGCCGGTCCCCGGTACGGGCGCAACACTGAGGGTTGCGATCCCGTTACCAGTCAGTAAAAGACAAAAAAGGAGAAAAAAAAAAAAAAAAGGAGTAGGGCTAAATTATCCCTAGAGAAAAGGCTCACCTAGACCCACCCTAACATATTAAAAATCAGCCTCAGAAGGATCAAACTGATTTGCAAATAATTTACTTAGTCTGTCAGAACAAGCGTAATACACTTTAAAGGAAGACAAAATCCAGATAAGCTTAACATCATAATACTTACAATGTCCAACATCCAGTTAAAAATCACTAGATATGCCAAGAAATAGAAAAATATAACCCATAATCAGTGGAAAAATCATTCAATAAAAATAGACTCAGAAATTATAAAGATGATATATGGCTCACTATGCTCAAGGATTTAAAGAAAAACATGAACAAAATATTCATGAGGAAAGAAATGGGAGATATTAAAAAAGAACCAGTACAGTATATGCATGTATTGAAACAATACACTGTACCCCACAAATATGTAGAAGGAAAAGGACTGGCTGGTTAGTCCAGTGGGTTAGAAAGTGGTGTTATAACACCAAGATCAAGGGTTCAGATCCGTGTACCAGCCAGCTGGTGAAGAAAAAAAAAAAAAATTTTTTTTTCAAAAACTTTTTTAAAATAAAAAAAAGAACAAAAAGAAGAGAAAAAATAAACAAGCAAAAAAGCAAATAAAACAAAAAGAATAGATTTTAAAAATAAAATTAAGTAATTAAAGAACCCAATGGGCCATCTAAAGATAACAAGTACAATGAAATGAAAATTTCACTGGGTGGAATTAACAGCAGATTAGACAGTAAAGAATTTAAACAGCAGTAAGTATGATGGCAGAGTAATAAAAGTATCCAAGCCTAAGCAAGAGGAGAAAAAAAAGAACTGAAAAAAGTTGAAGAGCCTCAGTAATCTGTGAGACACTATTGAGCATTCTAACATATGTGTAATTGGAGTCTCAGAGGACAGGATAAGGGAGCAGGGGAAATAAAACAAATTTAAAGAAATAATGACAAAAATGTTTCCAAATTTGATAAAAACTACTGTAGTGGGTTGAATGGTGGTGCCCCCACCCCCACCCCCCCAAAATGACATCACATCCTAACCCTCCAGAACCTGTGAAGGAGCACTTGTTTGAAAAAAGGGTCTTTGCAGATGTAATTGTTAAGGATCTCAAGATGAGGCCACCCTGGATTATCCAGGTGGGTACTAAATCCAATGACAAGTATCCTTCAAGGCACAGAGAGAGGAGAAGGCCACATGAAGAACAGAGTCAGAAACTGGACTTGTGAAGCCATGGGCCAAGGATGCTCAGAGCCACCAGAAGCTGGAGGAAGTGAGAAAGGACGATCCCCTGGAGCCTTTGGAGAGAGTACAGTCCTGCCAACAGTCCTGCGTTTAAACTTCTGGCCTCCAGAAATGTGACAATAAATTTTTTTTGTTATAACCCATCCAGTTTGTGGTAATTTATTGTGGAAAATAATATAATGATAAACCCACAGATGGAAGAAACTCAATGAACTAGCAAGACAAACACAAAGAAAATTACACCAAGGCTCATTATAATCAAATGCTGAAAACTAGTGATAAAAAAAAAAATCTTAAAAGCATTCAAAGAAATGAGACCCTCAATGTATGGAAGAACAAATACAGGAAACACTACCCACTTCTCATCAGAAACTATGCAAGCCCGGGCCAGCCCAGTGGCGCACTTGGTAGAGTGCGGCGCTCCCGCCGAGGGTTCGGATCCCATATAGAGACCGGTCCGCTCACTGGTTGAGCGCGGTGCGGGTGCGACACCGAGGGTTGCGATCCTGTTGCCTATCACGAAAAAAGACAAAAAAAGGAAAAAAAAAAAAAAAAAGAAAGAAAGAAACTATGCAAGCCAGAAGACAATAGAATGAAATCTTTAAAGTGCTGGGGGGAAACAAAACAAAATCAAAAAACTTTTGACCTAGAAGTCTATATCCAGTGAAACTATTCTTCAAAAAGGAAGGGGAAATAAAGAATTTTATGGACAAACAAATGCTATGAGAATTTATCGCCAGATGTGCAGAAAATGTTAAAAGTAGTTCTTCAGGTGGAAAGAAAATGATACCAGATGGAAACCTGAATCTATATAAAGGCATGACCAGTGCCAAAAATGTTAAATATGGGGCCAGCCCGGTGGCGCACTGCTACAGTGTGCCGCTTGGGAGTGCCGTGGCGCTCCCGCCGAGGGTTCGGATCCCACATACAGACCGGTTCCCGCTCACTGGCTGGGCGAGGTGCGGGCACCACACCGAGGGTTGCGATCCCGTTGCCGGTCCCGGTCCGGTACGGGCGCAACACTGAGGGTTGCGATCCGTTGCCAGACACGAAAAAAAAAAAAAAGCAATAATGTTAAATATGTAAGTATAAGAATGTCAATAAAATATTTAAAACCCACAAGAATAAAGAAAAGAGATGTCAGCAGATGAGAAATTTCAACACAGCTTTAGAACACGGAAAGTGGCTGAGGCATCACAACCAACGGAGGGAGCGGAGGAAGCTGGAACCCAACAGTCACAGAGCGGAACCCCTTGAGGAGCAAGCCAGTTCACCCCCAGCAGCCCCAAAAGGTGCAGGACCTGCAGGCACTGGGAATGGCAGAAGTGGGGATGAAGCTCAGAGCTGAATACAGGGGCGCTGGCTACAATTCAGAACTCCCTAGTCTCCTCTCCAACCTCATAAAGCTGGGAGATGCCCCCCACTTACTCACTGCAGGACGCCACGGGTTTGTTCACTATAATGGGCATGAGATGTGCTGAACTCAGGGACATTGGCCACTGCCACGGATAAGGTCACAAGGCTGAAACTGACAACCAGTGAAACCCCAGTTCCTTCCCTGCCTTGGATCCCGAACCACTGGCAGCCAGACTGCAACACCACCACCTCCATCCAAGCAGGAGCTTTGAGAATTCTTCCTTGGAGAGACTAAAGGCCCCAAAGATCTCTGAACACAGACATTTGGGGTGTTACAATGAGCAGACCATCTTGTCACCCAATCATCTTACAGTGGTGTCTGTGCATCAGTAAATTCCACATGCCCATTCTTAAATATGCCCCAATAGTCAGGGGGAACTGGACACTTAAGAAAAGCTTCCAACATGAAATAAACCAAACCATACAAATAGATGCTGAAAACTCAGAGGAAACTCTGTCGATGCAGGGAAGCAAAGAAAACTTTTTGAGGGGGAAATGACAATTTAAATCCTCAGGAAAATATGAAAAGATCATTGAAGTCATGAAACAAAATGGGACACCCTGGCTTCCCATGACTTCTCCTGCTCTTTCCCTTGCCTTCTTCACTCCACAAGTGACTTTCTTCACCTCTCCTTGCTTTCTTCATTCCTGGACAGCTGCACCTGCCCCAATTCTCCCAT